CAGTGACCGCCTCCACCTCCATTCTTAAGCTGGATGTTGTGGTATCATATGCTAGGCTCTCCTGCACCAAACGTCGACCATTAACTTTTGCTAAGAAGCCCCAAGCCAGCAGCAAAAAGAAACCTTATAGACCTTTACAGTACCACAAAGAAATTAGTAGGTAAATTTAGTCAGCCAACTGGATCAGTCAACGATAGACAAGGAAAGGTACTCACCAATACTAAAGATCAAATGAACAGATGGGCTGAATATTTTGAAAAACTTCTGAATAGACCAGCCCCAGTGGTCCCTCCAGATATCAAATTCTTAGAAATCAAACTGGATTTAAACTGTGAGGTACCATTTAAAGAGGAAACTGGGAAAGCTATAAATCTTCTAAAGGGAGGAAAGGCTGCAGGTCCAGATGGTATCCCAGCAGAAGGTATTAGGGCCAATAAAAAAACATCCACAGAATTACTACACAGACTATTCAGTAAAGCCTGGGAGACTGAAGAAATACCAGCAAACTAGAGGGATGGATATCTTGTGAAACTGCCCCCAAAAAATTGATTTGCAGGATTATGAAAAGTATAGAAGGATTATGTTGCTGTAAGTTCCGGAAAAATAATTATGTAGGATTATTTTAGAAAGGATAGTCTAAAAGATGCTATTGATAAAATGTTAAGAGATTAACAGGCAGGTTTTTTCCAGACAGATCCTTTACTGACTAGATGGCCACACTGCGCATAATAATAAAGCAAAGCATTAAACTGAACTCACCACTTTATATTGAATTCATAGACTATGAAAAATCTTTTAAAATGATTGATAGGGAATCTCTCTGGATATTGATGGGGCACTATAGTATCCCACATAAAATTAACTTAGTAAAAGTAACATATAAAGACATGAAATGTTGAGTTCTTCATGACGTAAAACTAACAGATACATTTGAAATAATTGTCAGGATTATCATCTTCAAAATACCTTGCCAATGTGCGTGAGAAGATTATAGCTGTTAAACAGCGGTCTTTTTTTTTTTTTTTTAGAAACAAAACAGCTCTTGCCAAGAGGTCTGGGCAGTTACTGGCCAGGAAAATATACCAGGTCAAATGCGGCCACATTTGCCGTTGATGTTTATGGGAATTCCAGAATAGACAGGAGACGGTGGTGGTGACTCTTGGACTTGAGGATGCCTGCAATAGAGACATATATGATATTCTGATGTTTACGCTCATGGAGAAAGGGTTGTGTCCCTGGCTACTGCACTGGATAGTAGCTGCATTCACCTAAAGTTGCCATCTGCCTATGTACGTAGTCCGCAGAAGCATACAATATCGCCTGGGATTACACCAGAGTTCTGCAATTTCACTAGTGCACTTCAGTGTGTATACAATCAGGATTGCAGAATTCAGAGCACCAGGGTTGGAAGGATGTTGACATTTGCAGATGATGTTCTTGCATATAGGCAGGGTAGTGACAGGCAACAGACAGCATAAGAACTGCAGGCAGCTGTAGACAAAGTGACTGGCTGGTCTGCAGAAATGGGTGCTGTCATCAACTCAGAAAAGGTGGCTGTCGTCTCTGGACAGTAGAATTGTAAGAGCTGATGTTCTAGGTCAGGCACTGAAGAAATCAATGAACTTCTTTTTGCAGATGATCACTGTCTAATACACCACCAAGAACAGAATTTACAAAACCATATTGACTCCTTCCTGGGAAGTAAAGGTGGCCAGTGTGATGCTGACCACATCAGCCACCAAGTGCTGATTGGTCTATAAAAATATAGGTCTAGCCCTGTATTCCCAATATGCCTAAAGGCATGGAAAAGGGACCTTTACTTTACTTATTTTGACTGCTTACATCAAACCTTTACAAAGTTTGATTTGAGAAAACCCATGAAAACTGAAGTAATGAGACTGGCAGGAAACATAATATCATGAACGTTCATGCTAACAGTACCACATTTAATCAAGAACGAGAACTCAAATATTCAGGAAGCATATTTACAGAGGATGGCAGACTCGATAGAAAGAAAGAAGCCATAGTACCGAAGACAAATACTGTCACCTACCATTTAGCTCCACTGCTTAGACACCCAAATTTCTCCCATCCAACACAACAGCAAATCATTAAAAGCATCTTTATCCCTACTTTATTTTATCAGTGCCAAACATGGACAGTGAATAAGGCACTAGAACAGAAGATAACTACATGTGAAATGCGCTGTCTCCACAAGGTCACTAGCAACACAAGAAGAGACAGGGTTAGGAATACCAGCATTAGAGATAAAGTCAGAATAAGACCATGTCTGGATTATATTGACAGACAAAGAATAATATGGTTCACCTGTCTAGTGAGAATGCAGCCAAATCGAACTGCATATGAGACTTTTTACAACAGAACGTCTGGGAGAAAGATGAGAGGAAGGCCGAGAAAGAGATAAATAAAAGATTTAGCAGAAACCTGCAACAAGATGAACAATTCCATCACCCAGACCAACTGAGAAGCGCAAGACAAATACAGAAAACTACAACACTGCTAAAACCTGGTATCAGTGAGACGACAAAAGAGAAAGAAAGAAAGAAGATGTTCCAGGTCTCACAAATAATGATAGAAACGTCAAAAGAGAAAGCAAATACCTGGGTATCACTTTCAATAGAAGCTGTCCTTCTAAAATAAAAAAAATAAATAAAAAACACACACACACAAAATGCCAAAAACAACTCATCAGCATATCCAAGTGTTCTTTTGTATTTCCTACATTCTTGTTTCAAATTTGCTTATAATTTTCTCCAGGCCCAAGTTGAAAAGAAGTGGGGATAGAGCATCACATTGCTTTAAACCAGATGTTATTTGAAAAAGGCTGACTTTCTGCCTTTATATATTACTATGTTACAAGTGTCTTCCATACATAGTTTAGTCATGGTAATTAACTTGTTTGGTATTCCAAAGTCCTTCCCATAAACTGTTTCTATGTACACTATCATACGCCTTTTTAAAATTCACAAAAAAAATTATGTATGTCTCTTTGCTATTTATCGTAAAATGAATTTTGATCTGTTGTTGATCTATTCTGTCAGAAACTTGCTTGGTAATCTCCCAATATGTCTTCGACATATGGTTTTAGCCTGTTTGGCTGTACTGCCGATAGTATCTTATAAATTGTAGATAATAGTGATTTTCCTCTATAATTTTCACACTTATACTTGACTCCTTTCTTAAAAATGGGTATTAATGAAGACACTTTCCATTCGTGGGGTACTTATACTTGACTCCTTTCTTAAAAATGGGTATTAAGGAAGACACTGTCCATTCGTGGGGTAATTTCTCCGTCTTCCAAACTAGTTTTATTAATTCATATATCCTTACATGTAATGCATGACCACCTTCTTTTAAAAGTTCAGCTGCAATTCCATCAGCACCAGTTGCTTTATTGTTTTAAGCCATGTTATGACATACAGTACTTCTTCAAAATCAGGCTTTTTAATATTTGGTTCACATGTCAATATCTCTTCCTGTGGTTAAGTATTGAGTGGAGTTGCACAGTTTAACAATCCAGCAAAGTATTCCTTCCATCTGTTACACATTTCCTCATTATTATTTATCATGTTCCCATTGTGATCTTTCAAACTATAAAGGACTTGTTGATGTGCTCATTTTACAGCCTCAGTTCTTTAAAAAACACTTTCTGGATTCGTTGTTCTGATGGTTAGCTTCCATATTCATGACAATGTTGTTCATGTATTCTTTTGGTACCCAACTACTTTTGTAGCTTCTTTACATTCTGTTCTATATTTTTCTTCATTTCGTATGTTACTAGAATCCTTTAGCCAAATCTGCTTGGCATGTTTTTTTCTTACTGACTGCTTCTTCACATTTAGTATCGAGCCATTTGTTCTTTCTGTTTATGGTGGACACCCAGACATTCTTCTTCAGTATTTTGAATTATATTCTTAATATCCATCCACGTTTGGTCAACGTCTTCCTCTGACGGAATTTGTAAAATTTCGAGTTTATGTTTTAACTTAAGTGCAAATTTCTCTAATATGAATGTTTCTTGTGGTCTTTCTCTGTTGTACTCTTGTGATCTTTGCAAATTGGTGTAGAAGGATCTGTTTAACTTGATTTTTAATTTCGCACCTACTAGGTAGTGGTCACTATGACACTCAGCTCCTCTGTAGCTTCTAACTTGTTGCATATTCGATGCATTACTAATATTTATTAAAATGTGATCTATTTAATTAAAAATTATCTTGTCACATGATTGCCATTTTTGTTTATGTATATATTTTCTTTGAAATCTAGTGCTGCTTATCTGTAGTCCTTTCATTAAGGCAAGGTTGATTAATCTCCATCCATTGTTGTTTGCATTAGTATGTAGGCTTTCTATGCCTGCTAAATTTTTATAGGTGTTTTCTCTTACTATTTTTGCATTGAAATCTCCTAAGACAATCGATATGTCTCATTTTTTAACTTCATCTATGATATTCTCAAGGAAATCATAACAATCTTCTTTAATATCATCTTTTCTCATATCATCTTCTTTAATATCATCTTCTTTAATATCATCTTCTTTAATATCATCTTCTTTAATATCATCTTCTTTAATATCATCTTCTTTAATATCATCTTCTTTATCTTCATTGGGAGCATGCACATTAATCATCGTGATATATTTTATCCTATCACTTACAGCTTCAAAATGTACACTACTTTCCCACAACTTTTTCCTGATAAAAAAATCCTGTCCCAAGTTCATGTTTGTTTTGAGTGTTTCCCCCATACACTATGATCATTTCATTTTCCTCTATGGTACCCTGTCCTGGCCATCTCATTTCTTGAATTGCTGTTATATCCATTTTCTATTTTGATAGCACATACACATTTAATTTATCTCAACACAGAGATACTACTTTTTAGTAATGCCAGGTTGCCTGAAAAAACCACAACAGCCAAAAATGCTTACCTGTAAATGACACACAGCTAATTATTCTGGCATATCTCTTCTTTTTTCTCAGGTTTTGACTGATGAACAGATGCAGTGTATTGGAGCAGAAATGAATTTGTCAGAGACTGCATTTATAACACTTGATAAAGGAGACTTTGTTACTGGTAATATTATTATTATTGTTATGATAATCATAAAATACCTTGCCAACTGACTTGGCAGTCATATTTGCAGTCATGTTTCTCTCGCTCTCTCTCTCTGTCTTTTTTCTGTGGAGGTACAATTAGCTTAGACACCTATTTCCTTCTCTTTTTATATCTTTGGCTCTCTCTTTTTCTCTCCTGCACGTTTGTCTCTGGCTGGTGTGCCAAATCTTCTGCCATGTAAGGTGTCTAGTTTGAGACAAGGGTATCCCAGCGTACTAGCTCAGTTGGTTAAACTTGACTGCATAGAAACCGGGTGACGAACCCCTTGTGGTCCGGGTTCGCACCCGGGGGTAGGGAGAATAGCCAGATTTCTCCCAGAGTTACAGTATCTCTCATTGAATCAAATCCAGAGGGTTGCGATATCCATAGTACTGAGCCGAAGGGTTAACAACTCATGGTTTCTAGATATGTATGGGGAAAAAAAGTCAAGGGTAGACAGAGGCAATGAGGTATTTAAGCAGGTACAATAATATCACTGTACAGGTGACCCAGCTCCAGTTGTGGGTCCATTTTAGTTTGGGACAAAGGGGACGTAAGTGAATGACTCACTGAAGTGGAAGAAAACAATGACTGGTAATAAGTCAGTTGTGCAGAAGAAGCTGCGGGGGGGGGGGGGCTGTAAGATAGGCACACAGATTGTAGATAAATGACAATTTGGAAGGGGTGAAGAGAGCAGATTAAGACCTAAATATGTTTAATCAGAAATTGAATTTTGCAATAAAAGATATCTAGTAATATGCAAGAACTAAATGCTTTTATGTGATACATAGTGAAATTACTAGCATCCCAAAACCAGCTGTTTGTAGTGTCCTAAGACTACCAGAAATTTTGAATTTGTATCTTTTGTGGTTGTGGGTAAAGTATTTAGAAAGATTGCCCTGTCTATGTTGGTTTTACATGTATGTGTTTCTGTAAGCTGTTTTACAACTTGGAGTGTATCTCTAACGGTTAGGCATAGGAAATGTATATGATCTTCAGTCTCCTGTATGTGTTTTGTACATAAGTGGCATGGCAGTGTCTGAGTCTGTGTACCTGTCTTTCTGTTGTTGTTGTCATGTTGAAAAGGAGTCTGCATGTGACCTCTCTGACTTAAGGTTAGCATAAAAAAACCAAAGCTGATAATGCATTTTTGAAATGTCACAAGTGTAACACATTAAAACAGACCATACTAATTTAGCCACTTTTTTAGAATACTGCTACAACAAATATTGGTGTGGTTGAAAAATATGGACTGAAAGCATGGAAAGTCATGTGCCACTAGGCATAAAGAGAACTGATGATGATGATTTAGGTGGGAGATTTATTTACAGTGAAGCCAAATTCCTTTGATCTTACTACTGCTTTGGAAACAGATGAATCCCCTCTTGCCTCTAGCTGGAGAGATGCTTAGTTTGAACTCATTCTTGACTGTGTTCGAGAGTATACAGATGGCTTGCTGCCTTTTCTGTCTGTCTGCTTACTTCGATTTGAATCGCCGATTCACTCAGTAACGTCCATGATCATGGGTAAGTACATTATAGATTATTAGTACCGAAGCATTCTTCCTTGCTACTGAGTGTAGGACTGAGGTGGCTATGTGAAGCAATGGGACCTGGCTGTCCTGGATGTAAATATGGCACATGTGTTTAGGTTGAGAACGTACAGGTCAGGTTAGACCGTATTGATCAGTATCAGCTGGGGTCATGCAAGTTTTAGTACATGTGTGACATCACATCCGCCCTGCCCAAAAGGTAAACATGACAATTTCAGCGGGGGAGTAAGATTGTTGTATTGTGTGGCTCATACGCTCTCCATACATCCTCTATGCGTGGTATACTTGTGTGAGTATAAGTATTCTATGATGGAAAGGAAGTGGTGTTATTCCTCTATAAGTTGGCATATGCAGACTATCGCTGTTACTAGAGATCAGCATTAGACTGAACTTAATTGCTTTCTAACCTCACAGCTGGTAATGGCGATCCTGGGGTTGTTTCAGATTTATACAGCCTTTAAAGCCTAGCACAGACATCTGAGCTAAAGTATGTGGAGATATGGATGGGTGGTAAACCTGGTATGATGTTTGGTGATTACTAACTCTGGTTTTCCTCTTTGTCACATGATATTAGTAATATCTGGAGGCCAAGTTGTCGATCAGTATCCTTGCACTATCCAGTGTAACTCATAACCAGCTTACAGAAGGAGGGATCCTCAGGGAACAACTCATTCCTGCCCATGCACCATGTCACTGGCTCCATAGTCAACAACTGTCTGTGGTCCTGTGGTGGTCACCATCAGCTTGTACTCCACCCAGAAGACTTTTATGTGAGGTGTTGCCAACAACTGATACGACTAGAGGGTGGCTTAAATCATAGTGTTTAACTTAGATTAACACAGACCTCTCTTCCATGAGATACCATGGAACAACTAACATTATCAGTGTGGTATTTGTGAAGACATTCTTATGTCAGTTAATTTTTGTGAATGCTGAGCCAAGATCTTCAAGACAGAATTCACTAGACTTCATACCTGCACTGCCAGATGTGGGAGGAAGCCTCAGTTCAAATGAACGGGACATCCTGGACAGATAAGTGGTGCAGGTTAATCCTAACACTGAGTGCCAGTTTTCTAGGTTCAAAATTCCACAGTTTGGCAGTGATGACAATAGCTGTTACTAGGGACAATACAGGAGTCCATCTGGAGTAGTATATTCTTTGCTTCATTAGCTGGTTTGATTGATCTTGCTGAATTCTTGTCTCTATATTCCTACATTTGTTGCACTGATTACATGGTGTTATGTTATCTTACATTCTGTTGTTAGTGTCATCCTTCATAGTTCTTAAGTTGTCTGATGTATCTGTTGTATTGTTATATTTCATATTATACTGTGTTAATTTGACTAGCGTAGGATTACTATCTAGTCTGGGGGCTTAAAAATAGTGGGGAAGCCAGTCTAAGTTGCACCTAGAAATGTTTATTGATTCTGTAGTGCCATAATTTGAGTCACCTCACCCCTAAAGTAGGTTGGATGTTCATTGGAGCTGTGGGATACCGCGTAGACCATTGTGAGCCAACATCTCAACACCAAAACTACTTCAGAGTGTCTTTCGGTTCATCAGGGGAAACCCTAATAAAGACACGTGACACCAGCATTGTGTGGCAATGTCCACTGGTCTGTAGTTAATGCTGCTTGGGTCAGCTTCTGGCTCAGCCTTGGAGACACTTCATGGCAGGTTAGATGATCTTACACCTGCAGCTATACTGGAACGCCACCTGGAAACCTGGTTCAGAACTATCACACAAAGACTACAGATATAAGCACCATCTGGGATATAGTGAGTCGGCTTGGCAGATAGAATTACACATCTTGCCATCTCAAATTGTGTGGTCAAAAAGACCAGCATGACCTACTTTAGATCCAAGGGGCTGATGATGTCAGCTTGATGTGACGTCACCACCCCTGAGTCATGTATAGTCCTGTTTTCACTCTGACAGTCCTATTTTTTGGTGTGCTCCTGGCCGTTCCTTGAATACTCCCCACACAAATTATAGGAATAAGCTTGAGAATAGAACATGCATATAGGTATATACATAAACAATATAATATAATATTTTTAAAAGAAAAAAATGGGGTGGGGGTTGGGGGGGGGGGGAGGGGGAAGGAGAACTGACCTGCTAAGGATGTCTTATTTTCAGCTCAAAACATTATGAACTAAATAAATAAATCATAGAAACAAAAACGACAACAGAATCTACTTACATTTTAGCTGGTGAATATCCAATTTGTATCAAAATAGTCCACAGCAAATATTTGAATAATATCCCCACAGACTTCAAGTGTTGCAATCTCCACATATGTGGATATACTAAACTAGCCACTTAGCCTAGCTAACATTCATAGTATACAAGAGTTTAGTGTGCTGAACATTAGTGAGTGAACTTAGCCAGCTTTCTTTTCTTGCATGATTTATCCAGCAAGGATGTATCATTTTGCACGTTTCTGTAGATTAGAAAAAAAATGAAACGTTTGCCAGAGATGTCAATGCCTTGAAAAGAATGTTTACTTAGAAAAACCCTCACCACAGACACTGCCTATTTCATCATTGAAATATACCTGTAGCTGCAAAGGACAACATGCCTGAGCAAATCTTGCACACATGTTAGGCTGAGTCAGCCTGGGAGCCCAGGTCAGTTTTGAAAACAAATCAGACTTGATGCACATTTAGGCCCTAGACATTTTGGCCAGCTACAATACCTTTGTATGTTTACTATAGGTTATATATTACAGAATACAAACTACTTCTACCATCAGCAGCATGACATTGGAGGTTATGGCTGTGACAAAGGCCCTAGAATGGTTGACAAATCAAGAATTCACCAGTAAATGCTTGCTGAGTGACTCATTGAGCATGCTACAGAAGTTCAAGGTGGGGAATGTATAGAAACAGTCACTCCATCTGATACAGCATGCAGCAGTTTGCAAAATCACTTGCATTTTTGTCCCAGAGGATGCTAGTGTGAAAGAGAATGATAGAACGGATACCTTGAGTAGCAGTGTAGCGATCAAAAATGGACCATCTAAGGACAGGAGAGATATAATCAATGCCACAAGAGAGGCAAACACTGTAAGGCTTTTATTTTCACAGAAAATCATAGACTGCATATCCCGGGTGTACCAAATGGAGCAGAGAGACAAAAGAGCCATGCGGAAGCCGCCTGTTGTTCAATCAAACAAGTCAGAAAGAGAGTTGTTAGCCTAAAAAACTTAAAGACATAATCAGGATGAGACTGGAGCACTTATGGTCAAATCCGATGTGCAATGAAAATGATCTTCAAAAGAACAATGAACAAACACTCACAAATCATCTCAGCTGGAATGACATAACAGTGAGTGACATCAGCAGACATGAGAAAACAGGTGACACTGAAGATAGTATCAGAATGAAGGAACTCAGATTAGCAATAGGGAAAGTCATAGTGAATAGTGTGGCTGGACATGATGGTACATCACAGGAAATGATAGAGTATACTGAAACTATGTGAACAGTGATTGCTCAGGATCCTGCAGATTGTCTTGAAGTGTGAACATGGTTTACACTGCTAAAGGTGGAGAGTGTCTGAATAATTCTGATGCTGAAAATTGGGAACAATCAAAACTGAGACCAGTATCTCTTCTTCTTGTTAATGTCTTTTCTAAAATCATGGTACATTAACGTCTGTACAAGCCACAACTTTATTGCCTTTTTTTAATAGTTTGTGAATGTCATCATGACAGTTAATAGCAGTGAAGAATATCAATATGAAATAAAATAATTTAAGCATTTAAAGATCTAGTCTATCTATCTATTGTCTTCTTCACTTTTACCGGTTGCAGCCCAGTTTCATGGTTTAAAATATTTGTTTTGTGCCTCTCGCGTGATTTGAGTGTCAGTTTTCTGGATCTTCTGGCCGTATTCAGCTACTCCATCTATCCATTTGTTCCTGGGTCTTCCTCTGGCCTTTCTTCCCGATGTTCTAAAAGATCTTGTAATTTGATAAAATTGTACTTTTCTTCCTCCAGACATACATTCACAGAAGCAGACTTCCACAGCAGACATTGATAAACAACAGTGGACAAGAATAAAATAAAAAGGAACCTCATACACCAGAACTTTCTTCAGTTTATAAATAAAAGCCATTGACTGGCAAGTGGATCCATTCATTGCCCCAGATTTGATTCCATTATGGCTTAGTCTGTGTGAAGAAGGATTCCATTATGGCTTAGTCTGTGTGAAGAAGGATTCCATTATGGCTTAGTCTGTGTGAAGAAGGATTCCATTATGGCTTAGTCTGTGTGAAGAAGGATTCCATTATGGCTTAGTCTGTGTGAAGAAGGATTCCATTATGGCTTAGTCTGTGTGAAGAAGGATTCCATTATGGCTTAGTCTGTGTGAAGAAGGATTCCATTATGGCTTAGTCTGTGTGAAGAAGGATTCCATTATGGCTTAGTCTGTGTGAAGAAGGATTCCATTATGGCTTAGTCTGTGTGAAGAAGGATTCCATTATGGCTTAGTCTGTGTGAAGAAGGATTCCATTATGGCTTAGTCTGTGTGAAGAAGGATTCCATTATGGCTTAGTCTGTGTGAAGAAGGATTCCATTATGGCTTAGTCTGTGTGAAGAAGGATTCCATTATGGCTTAGTCTGTGTGAAGAAGGATTCCATTATGGCTTAGTCTGTGTGAAGAAGGATTCCATTATGGCTTAGTCTGTGTGAAGAAGGATTCCATTATGGCTTAGTCTGTGTGAAGAAGAGTGGTTGTTAGCTTGCCCAAAGTGTTGCACAGTGCTGACTACTCAGCAACTCCACTGACGACCCCCCTGACCTTTCTGAACTATCAGCATTCTTGAACTGAAGGATAAGTATGCAATGGAATCCAGTACCTTCAGGATAACCTTCAAGAGAAACAGCTTAGAATTGTTCTCATGGAGATCCCTTAGAGCAAAATTATGCAGCATAGGCTGTAATTTGAGTTTTAGTACTTCATTGTTGAGTATGAAAATGGTGCTAATATCAGGGACTAATTTTCAGCAAACTCCTTTGGCCTCAGATGGTTCACACCTGCCACTGAGGTAGACCTGTGTGGGCATGCTACGTTGGCATCTGCAGCTGTGCTGTTTAAAGTTTTAGGTAAGGTCAGAATGTATGCATGATTTTAACCACTTGTTTCTTTAGTACACTTGTTTGACAATGAAAATATCTTTGTTTCATTATTCTTACATGTGTTTGTGTGTGAGAGCCTGCATGCATACATGTAAGAATATTTTCTGTAGTTATGTGATGTCTGCTTATATGCATATTAATGTTAACATCTTCAACTATTTTGTTTTTCAAATTCTTTTTTTACTTGGACCCAAACTGTTACATGCTTTGTGAATGATGGATGAAATAATAAAGCTTCTCAGTGTTGTATTTTCTTCTATTTTGTTCTGCCTTGTATCTCCTGATATAGAATTGGAACAATAATTCATTTTGGTTGGATTTTGCGGCTATTTTCTACTAAATTATGTCTCACACCATGCCTCCTATAAGCGAAACAAAAGAGGTTAACATAATACAGCTGTAAGGACAGAATGAGGTGTAGCAAACACTGTTGGAATCAGTGGACTAGAGGAGAATATACTGTCAAACAGTTGTCTAGGATCAAAAGAATTAAAGAAATGAAGACCAGTTTATGCAGTAAATTAGGAAAAGCATACAAATGTCTTTACATTTCCAGCAAAATGTTTTGCTTCAGGCAACTGAAGGAAGAGAAGAGAAAGAAATATAAAAATTGAAATTAATAGTCATTACCCAATGGGCTAGGCATTTTCTGTGTAAATAATGTAATCAATAATTAAGAAAAGGCAAGAAACACTGTATATGTTTTGTAATAATTAATTCAAATAAGTCAGGAAACACTGTTATGTGATCATTAATAAGTGAAGTTAGGAAACACTGAATATGTTGTGTAATCACAACAATGATAGGAGAAAACAACAGTGGATAGGTTAAGATATGAACATCTGAGAGGAAGCAGTTTAAGTACATTCGATGACCATGAAATCCCATGCTCTGATTGTGGAAGATTTGTCTGAATGCAAGCAGGCATGCTAGTTACATTTACCATCACCACTGGCTGTGTTTCCCGTGACGTGTGAGTATTATATAAAACCCTCATCTGCAAAAAGAGAAAGATGCCAATGGCAGTGTTACTTCACATTGGGCATTCCTATGCATGCTCATCCTGCAATGCAGCAGCCATCCAAATGTACTTCTACTGAATGTACCCATGAGCATTTTTATGGACTAATCAGCACTTGATCGGCAGTGTTATCAACATCATGCTGTCCACCTTTACTTCCCATGATATTTCCTAGTATCTGATTATGTTGGGTCAGCTTGCAGTATGATATCTATTTGGTATTGCTTACTTTCTTCTGCTACCGTATTTTGTTGCCTGTGCCATAACCCTAACATTGCAAAAGTCTATTCCAGTGGTTATTTTTAAGTCAACTAGTGTGCATGTCTGGCCACAGCTCTCATCTGTTACAGTGTACATGTACCCTGTTCACCACAAATATATCACCTTGCATACATGTACTTTGTGCACCATACATACATGTACTCTGTTCACCATGCCTACATGTACTCTGTGCACCACACATACATGTATTCTGTGCACCACACATATATGTATTCTGTGCACCATGCATACATGTACTCTGTGCACCAAGCATACATGTACTCTGTACACCACACATACATATACACTGTGCACCAAGTATACATGTATTCTGTGCACCACACATATATGTATTCTGTGCACCATGCATACATGTACTCTGTGCACCAAGCATACATGTACTCTGTACACCACACATACATATACACTGTGCACCAAGTATACATGTATTCTGTGCACCACACATACAGGTACTCTGTGCACCAAGCATACATGTATTCTGTGCATCACACATACATGTACTCTGTACACCACACATACATGTACTCTGTGCACCACACACCATTTGACTAATTTGTTTACTGGAATAGCATCCTTTACTGTACATTTCTTTAGCAATTAATTTTTTACAGCTGGCCCAAGCCAAGCCTTACTTGTTTCTAATCTGGACTTGTGACTAGCAATGGTGGGGATTGAAGAGGATGTAGATATATAGGTAATAAATTGAATAGAAGAAATCTCTTCTGTTGTTCACTGTCTATTGAATAATAATAATTTTTTTACTCCTCAAAGGCAACATTAATGATGTGATAACTTTTACTTCTCGAAGTGGACCACTAATGGTGAACAGATTCGATGAAACTAAAATTTCACTAAATTTTCCTGAGAATTTGCCAGTTTCAGTGGTAAGAATTGTACTTAAATTTGAAAAAAATATGTTTAAACAATTAAAGTTTTTTTTCTATTGCTACAGTTTAGCCAAGAAATTCTCACTGAACTGATAGATTAGTTTCACCATACTACTGTCCTAGCATTGAGTAAACTTCCTTTCATGTTCAAGAATTCATCTGTAATTTGACACAGACAGCTGAAGAATGGATCAACATGTCAACACATTGTAAAGTAGTGTTTCCCAGAGACAACCCTTTATTATTTTTTTTTCTTTCGTTCGCTTTAAATAAGTTATCTATGTCTGCAATGTTGGCTCTAGTATGAACTTCACTGTCTTTTGTAATTCACTCAGCGACCCGTAAAGTTTGACTTGCACTGGTGTTTCTCTTGGCCAAAAGTTTTGCCTTGATATGTTGTATTTGGAGGACATAATCTGTTGTCTCAGGTGCCAGTCCACATGTGCACATGGCTGATTCGCCCATTTTAAATTGTTTATGCATGTAGCTGCTAAGTAGATTGTGTCCTGTTCTAAGACTTAGAATAATAACTTGCTCTGGTCTGTCCAAAAAATGGTGATCAAGTATTGGTTTATTGGTTTGGTTTGCTTTACAAGTGGGGAAAAATAATAGACAGCTACAAAACTGTTGTAGTGTTCTCGTAATAAAAAAAAAAAAAAACTCTTTGAGTCCCAAGGAATACATCACTCTAGTCCGTTATTACCGAGGGCACCAAATCGTGTGTGACGCGTTCAGGTTTTTATACTCAAACAGGCAGTTTTGAATGGTATTTCCCATTCTTTGTTTTTGAAGTGGCATGTGTCGACCATTAAGCACATATGAACATGGTTAAAAGCATTAAAGGTAGTTTGTGAGCTTTACAGAGTTACTAAATGTCTGTGTAAAAACAATATGTCCTCCGAGCAGACTGCTTCATGCATGCCAACACGATTTATGACTTCAGAAGCCTCATATTTAAATAATAAAACACAAGTTTATCAAATTTATTTGAAGCTAGACCAAAAAAAAAAGGTATGAAGTAGACTTGTTTCAGTCATTGAGTCAGACTTTGATTAGGGATAGCTTTGACAAAATCTCAAGCTAAGCCTACAACAATAACAAAATCAGCTGGTATAAAAAGAATAAATACTAGTAAAAAAGGCAAAATTTCTTAAATGTCAGTTAGGTCTAGTGCAATTTCCTTATTATTTGGGAACATAGGTTTTAAAATTACAGGCGGAGTGAGTGTTATGTAAAGTAGTACTTAAGTTAAAAGTGCTCTTTGTTTTCGGAGGCCATTTTTCTTTACAAAAAAGAAAATATTGTTATATGTTCTAAAAGTTTCTGTGGAATGAGATCTGATTGTGTGTATATTTTATTTATACATTAATAAGTGGTTTTGGTTCCTTTGTAATTCATTTTGGATATATTTTATCGAGTTTTCCTTGTGCCATTATGGTAAGTGAAAAAAATTATTATTTCTTTTTACTTATTTCTCTTGAAAAAAATGAAACAGAGAAGAAACAGCACACCCATTCATTGTCACCGATCCTCCTTAAATCATCCAGTTTGAGGATTCTGCATTTTCCCTGATCAGCCATGCACCATTCATCTTTTAGAAGTATCTTAAAAGAACTATGTTCTAGAATTTCCTGAAAGTTCCAGCAGATCATGAATTTGAAAGAAGAAAGTTTGATTTGAAAGATGTCTAGTTTGATTTGAAATACATCCAATGTGGTGTGAAAAATGTCTATTTTAAGGTTAAAAAAAAAGTGTATGTGTGTCTATATATATGTACTAGCTATACCGGGCCACACGTTGCTGTGGCACAGAATGGTGAAATGGAAAAGAAAGAAAATAGCTCTCAGCTAACAGTGTCTGTCAAATCCCCCCAACCTCTCCCATTGACCCAGTCATATGTCCCTCCCTGAAGGAATGAAAAATCTTCCCTGGCGAAATTATAAAAAAAAAAAGTTCAGAAATGAGAACTTTAAAATAATGTTCTAAGCTCTCTCAGTTAATAGTGTCTGGCATCAACCCCTCTAACACCCCCCCCCCCCCCCACTAATCATATCATCCTCTCCAAAGGATGGGAAAGTAATCATCTGATGAAATTTTGTAACTAAATTGAGCTTGGCATCCGTGTCCACCCAGGCCAAAATGGGTAGCATTAATTTGTACTGAAAAGTACATGTGGCCAGTGTAACAGCTACCACATCACCCATGCAGTACCCTACTTCTGCTACCACTACCACCACCACCATCACAACAACAATGACAACAACAAAAACTGTCACTACAGTATGTGTAGGTTGGTGTAGCCAGAGGTGTTAGCGTCGCATGCTGTCACAGCGAACAGCGGTCACCCGCGTGAAGGTAGAATACTTATAACTATACTACCGAACACTGAAGAGTTTAGGTCAGATATTGCAGCCTAGCTGTAAACCACAACACAACGTGCCAACCGCCCTCTTAAGGGCGAACAAAGATTACCCGTGACATGACCATTGAGCATCACGTCGTTGCTATCGCAGGCTAGCTATAAACCCCAAAACCGAAAAAAAGGCGTAGATATCGCAGCCTAGCCATAAACCACAACGTGCTAGCCGCCCGTTAAGGGCAAAAAAAAAATTATCACCTAGCGGGGAATCGAACACGGGTTATCCGCATGATAGACAGAATAGTTACAACTACGCTGCAAAACACTCAAGCATATAGTGGAAATGAAATTATGTAGTAGTGCAAAGTTCAAAAAAGAGCTCAGCAGTCAAAAATGGTCAACCAACTAAAAACAAATCCGGGCTGGCAACAAAATAAATAATGATTTGACCGTTGCTGGAGCTATGTCGTTCGTGGTTTGTGCGATTTTCTGAAAATAAATCACGCTTTGAGTGAAAGGCAACGTTGTGTGAAAATTTGAAAGCAATCGGTTCAGTAGTTTTCGAGTTTAGAGTATACAAACTTGGAAAATTAACATTTTTATTAATATAGATTTATAATTTTCAGGATCTTCAAGATTACAGAAGTCTTTTACAGGTACAACATTAATACATTATTTTGTTTAGTTGTTTAATTAAAACTAATACCAGATACCCTTAGTATAAAATATGTGAATTGCATCCTTGACAAAACTACAAGAACTTCATGTCAAAAGAGTTGTCGCCAGATATAAACACTGTATGGTAGCCAGAGAAGACTAATCCACCAACACAGAACGTGTTCCAAGTTGCTACAGGTTTAGGGAGACATACTAAAGATAGTATCCGCATTCTTATGGACTTGTGCAATGAGGATGATTGGTTGATTCATTAATTAACTAACATAGTATAATATATGACACTGAATTATACATTTAAAAAATATTTTTGTGGTATTGTTTTATTTATGTATGTGATGATGAAGGCTTCATAGCCGCAACCTTCAAGTTCAGTTTGTATTTGTTATATTGTGAAGCTTATGGATATACTTTTCATTCAGTTTTATATTTTTGCTTGACACTTTTTAATGAATACATAAAATCACACAGTCATTGACAAAAAATTATATTGTTTGTGATCTCTTTACTAGAAAAAGTGTCATTCAAACAGTACCTTTTCCTATAATGTATTTTTAGAACTGAATTTCCAGCAAGCACTACAGTAGATTGGAAACAATAATAGCAGAAACATGGCACCAGAACAAAGGCACACTGGTCAACCAACACAAAGCTGGGCACAGGATATTAGTGGCACCCCGGGTAGGAAAGGGCATGAGGTGGGAGGTGTGACGAGAGACAGAATTTCTTTCAGGCAGACCGCAATGAGAACGATGTTTTACAAAGGACCTGCTCCATGTTGAGGATATTTTCACACTTGTTATCAAATGTAGACATTTTGGAAAAACAAGGTACATATATATATTTGATGAACACAAAAGAAGCAGAAGAAGAAATATGTTTTGTTCCTGTTTCCTAAAAGACAAGTATTATTTGTACTTGTAACAGTCATTTAATTGTTTGTTTGATTATAGTTTGTCATTTATGCAAAGGGAGGCTTAACAAAGCCATGAAAGTGTCAACAAATGTACAGGACAAGACATTTGTCTGATTTTAAAAGCAAGAAGTTTTCTCTGATTCTTCTGTGTTCACCGGCTGTAAGCTGTGGCAGACAGTCCTGGTTGTTCATCCATTTGGACCTTGGCTCTGGACCAGGGTCTGCATTTGATGTTTTACTAGCTTATTTGTGTTCATTTGGTTGTTCCATGCCACTCGGGCAGATACACTCTCTTCAAAGAAAGCTCCCAATTTAGTCGACTCTTACGACATGCCTGTTGGGAGGCAGTGGGTCTGTTCTTGTTTCCTCATAATGGGACCCCAGAATCCACACAAAAGTTTTAAGAAGTCAGTATTTGTCATCCATAATTTCCAACAGTTTATGATGTTAGGCCAGCACGTGTCATTAATATCCAGTGTTTGTGAAAGAGAAAATAAGTCAGTAGAACTAATACAAGACACTAATGTTAGTAATTTTGAACAAAAGGAAGGCTTTGAAAAAAAAAATCAAATAAAAAACATGGTCAGCTCATCTCAGATATAATTTTTTAAACATAAAACTGATTTAATTTTCTTCTGTGAGACTGAAATTATTTATATTGTTTACATGTTCAGTCAATCAATCAGGTGCCATCTCCACACTGAAAGTTGGCTGCAGTGGATCTCCAACACGCTCTGTCCCTTGTCTTGGTTGTACACTCTCTCAGATTTTAAGATTACTGTCTGACCTTGTCTTGATGTTGTCCTCCCACCTGTATCGTTGTCTGCCTCTTGTTATATCTTTTAATATGGCCAAAGTTTTTCATTTGTCTCTTTTTTTATTTCTTTCAGTAATTCTCTTTTAATTTGTGGTCTTTCCAGAGCTCCCGTATTGAACTGTTTTGTTTTCATAAAATATGACCTATTTTTTTTATATCCACATTTCTGGAGACAGTTTGATTTTCTACTTGCTTGTTCATTGTCCAAGTATTGTCACTGAGCTAATAAGAACAGTTATCTGTCTTTGATCATTTGATTGAAGTCCAGTATCAGTAAAAGATGGGTTGGCATGTGTCACTTAAAAAAAATTCATCATCATCAAGTGCCTTGCTGACTGGCGTGGGCGATCATGCATGTATCAGTTCGTGTGTTGACACCCCCTCTATGCCATGACAAAAAACTGTCAAGAATCTTCTAACACTGTCTTTCCCTGTCTTTTTTTCCACAGATCTTCCCAGTGGTCACAACAAGTTCTATTTTCCCTCTTCTTATAACATGACAAAAAAATTATGACTGTCTCTTTCTGATGATTGTGATAGGTTGTCTTCAAGCACTTGCCTCTTTCAAAACATCAGGGCTGCTCTTCTTAGCTGTTAAAGGAATTCTAAGGATTCCTCTGTAAAACCACATCTCCTAGGCCTCAAGATATTGATAGCCTTGTTTATTAATTGTCTAGGCTTCATTGCCATATGTTAAAATTGGCTCTTACAAAATGTTCTTCATTTTTAAAATGCAGGTTTGGCCTGTCGGATTCTCTTCTTGATCTCTGTAATACATCTTCAATCGGGTATAGTCCATTCACTAAATGCTTGTCAGTCCAGAAGGCACAAACACTTGTTTGCATTCCCAGGGTCTATCAAATTGGCTTTGTATGACCATAATCAAATTCCCACCCTCCTTCTACATTCCCAGCCTGCCCAATGCTCTGACACCTGGCCTGAGGTTAACTGCTAACACCTCATTCTGAAAGGTGTCAACCCTAGCCCTGGCCTATCTCAAGTTTGGTCAGTATTATCCATTATACCATTAACACCTAACCCCTGGACAAGAGTCTGGGTTTTAGACTTTAACTGTAGTCTAGGAGAAATTAAGTGGCTTTATTCTGGATGGCCTTACTTATAGGTTTTGTCAAGGAGCGTATTTTCTACATACTTTAAAAAACATAGAAAAAATTAGGCTGAGGAAAGACACGTTCTGAAGTTACAGGTTGTGTCGTCACAGTGTTGCCTGCACATCAGTTTCATAGACCTGACTTATTTGCATGCAGACTGTTGATTTCTGGCCTCTCAGGCAGATGCACTCTGACTTCAGAGGAGATCCCCAATTAGTCGTCTCTTATGACATGCGTGTTGGGAAGGCAGTGGGTCTGTTCTTGATTTCCTCACAATTGGGTCCAGGAACCCAAACAGGAATAATAAAACAAATCAGGTGATAGTAAGCATCCTTGTCTTACTCCCCTATACATGTTCTTTATAATTCGTAAAACTTCTCCATCAGTATTTATCTTTTCCAATAGTTTTATTATTTCTTCATGCTTCACACAATCAAGTGCTTTCATATAGTCAACGAAACATAAGTAAAGATCTTTTATTTTTTTTTTTTACATTTTTATTTCCCTAGCTCTTTCAGAATGAGTTCTGAAAATGTTTATGTTTAAACATTTGCGTCAGCTTTATGTTATGTTATGTACATCAGCTGTGGCATCTCTGTAGAGCACTAAAATAGTCTCATTTTATCTGCACATGATAAGTAATCATTGATCAGTATTGTTGCATCCGTCACTCATGATCTTCAGGTAATTGTTGCTGATGAGTCTCTAATTCAAGATATTCAGTTGAGCAATACTGGAAAGCTCCTAGTGCGACTAAAGGACAATGTTCAAAGGTTAGTAATAATAAAACATCATTCACACAGTGAGTTTGTGGCATATCCCAAGATACAGGTAAACGTTTCGCTACTAGCTTGATAACACTCTACATGTAAAATATGCAGTGATGGATGTAACACATAATATAAAAACAAAATTTATATATGTTCTTTATACTCACAGTCTATTCCTGGTTCCATTCTGACCTGGGCAGTCTTTTTGATGTCACTGATGGAATCTACTCCAGAACCTTCAGCCTTGCTCATTCACATTTATCTTATGGATCTTTTTAGACGTTGACGAGACAAGAATAAGACTCAGCTTACAAGAATTATTATTGCTTCTAATGATATTTTCATATGCTATCTCAGCATACAAGAACTATTGCTTCTGAAGATATTGATATATGCTGCCTCAGCATACAAGAATCTTGGCTTCTGATCATATTCTCAGATACTGTTTCAGCATATAAGAACCATTGCTTTCAATGATATTCAACAAGAACCATTACTTAAAATGATATTCTCATATGCTACCTCAGTACACAAGAACAATTTCTTCTAATGATATTACAAAACTTCCTTCTCTCTTGGCTTAATAAAATACAGAGTCTTCTCAGGTAAGAGTGACAAGCTGGAGCTTCAGACTGCTGTTTGCCTATTGGAAAATGGTACTAGCCCCATATATTTTGTAGATCAGTTAACACTCAGTGGGGGATGTAATCTGTGTCCTGCTGGCCACCTTTGATTCCCTGAATGTTTCCTTTCACTTATTGTAGACTAGATCAGCCTGGAAACACAGGATCATTTTAAAGATTTGCCCTAGGGATATTGTGGAGATATGTGCAGATGGTAAATATTAAATATTTAGAACTGTTACAAGTCTTCAGACTGAATAACATGATGTTTTGATATTTTTTGGTATGAGATATTTTATTTGTGGAATTTTTAGGGAAGTCTTAGAAGCAATGAAGCCTCAGATTGACAGAATGATAGAATCTGATAGAACTGGGCTGGTGAAAGGAGTTGGAGTTTTTAGGGGAAGTCTGTAGCAAGCAACTTTGTGTGATAGCCTCATGGTAGCATCCAGAAGATCCTGTCACAGGTTTGTTGCTTTGAATGATTAGAATCTAGGATAGAACGGTGGCTGGTGATGAAGGATAGTCAGTGACAGTTCGGCAGTACAGAGTTCAACAACATTTGAAAGGCATCGTAGGTCATTGAGACATGGACAGTGTAGACAGCAAGGGAAACATATATGACTTACCAGTACATCACAGTCATATGTCTGTGATGATAGCATCAATAGTCAGTGACAGTACCAGTAGTCTGTGATAGTATCAGCAGTTAGTGACAGTACCAGAAGTCTGTGATAACATCAACAGTCAGTGACAGTACCAGTAGTCTGTGATAACATCAACAGTCAGTGACAGTACCAGTAGTCTGTGATAGCATCAACAGTCAGTGACAGTACCAGTAGTCTGTGATAGCATCAATAGTCAGTGACAGTACCAGTAGTCTGTGATAGCATCAACAGTCAGTGACAGTACCATTAGTCTGTGATAGTATTAGCAGTCAATGACAGTACCAGAAGTCTGTGATAACATCAATAGTCAGTGACAGTACCAGTAGTCTGTGATAGCATCAACAGTCAGTGACAGTACCAGTAGTCTGTGATAGTATCAGCAGTCAATGACAGTACCAGAAGTCTGTGATAACATCAACAGTCAGTGACAGTACCAGTAGTCTGTGATAACATCAACAGTCAGTGACAGTACCAGTAGTCTGTGATAGTATCAGCAGTCAATGACAGTACCAGAAGTCTGTGATAACATCAACAGTCAGTGACAGTACCAGTAGTCTGTGATAACATCAACAGTCAGTGACAGTACCAGTAGTCTGTGATAGCATCAGCAGTCAGTGACAGTACCAGTAGTCTGTGATAGCATCAATAGTCAGTGACAGTACCAGTAGTCTGTGATAGCATCAACAGTCAGTGACAGTACCAGTAGTCTGTGATAGCATCAGCAGTCAGTGACAATATCAGTATTCTCTGATAGCATCAACAGTCAGTGACAGTAGCAGTATTATGTGATAACATCAACAGTCGGTGAAAGTACTACTAGTCTGTGATTGGTAGATGTAGCACATCATAAATGGTGTAGTGTGCTAAACCTTGACTGATGTCAAGATGTGTGACAGTCGGCAGTTTTGCAGTAGGAGATCTTCAGCAGCTGCAGTCGACTCTGTGGTGACTACACAGTGTTTCTGACCCAGTTGTCAACAGTTTGTCACAGAACTTCCTACTGCACTCATACACTAGCTAGTATCACCATACTGGACCTTCATTCACTGATACACTTCTATAGGTTGCACCCCTTCACTGATAAAAAAGGATAACAGAATGCTGCTCCTCATCGGTGTATGTTAAAAGAGAGACGACAACCTTTAAACTGTAATGATGACATCACCATGTTCATTTGCATTGTGGTGTCAGGTCTCAACAACCATATTGACTGACTTAGCAACAATGGCATGGTTGTTAATTTTCATTTATTACACACTAAAAGTGGAAACTTCTTCCTCTTGTACATGATTAACTCGTAATTTCATAGCAAAATCAGGAAAGCAGTGTATAGAGTTTTCAGTAAAGAAGCATCAGATACCCAACTGTTGTGTATTTGTCAACACTTCTAGGTTCATGGCATACAGTTGCTGGTCCTTATTTTGCAAGGGAGCTAAATAAAACAAGATTCTATGGTAAGTGATTATGTACTTTTTATCTGCTTATGCATTGTGTTGTTTGTGTAGGCTACATAAAATATAAAACATTGTATTTAAGGAATGCATGTTTACAAACATGAAAACCAACACAGTTTAGAAATGTCTCAGAAATTAATGAACAAATGATGGTCACATCCTCTGAGTACCTGCACTTGCAACAATTGGTCCACAAGGTGGATAGTGAGTACTCTGGAGACATTGGTCCACAAGGTGGATAGTGAGCTCTGGAGACATTGGTCCACAAGATGGATAGTGAGCTCTGGAGACATTGGTCCACAAGATGGATAGTGAGCTCTGGAGACATTGGTCCACAAGGTGGATAGTGAGTACTCTGGAGACATTGGTCCACAAGATGGATAGTGAGCTCTGGAGACATTGGTCCACAAGATGGATAGTGAGCTCTGGAGACATTGGTCCACAAGATGGATAGTGAGCTCTGGAGACATTGGTCCACAAGATGGATAGTGAGCTCTGGAGACATTGGTCCACAAGATGGATAGTGAGCTCTGGAGACATTGGTCCACAAGATGGATAGTGAGCTCTGGAGACATTGGTCCACAAGATGGATAGTGAGCACTCTGGAGACATTGGTCCACAAGATGGATAGTGAGCACTCTAGAGACATTGGTCCACAAGGTGGATAGTGAGTACTCTGGAGACATTGGTCCACTAGATGGATAGTGAGCACTCTGGAGACATTGGTCCACAAGATGGATAGTGAGCTCTGGAGACATTGGTCCACAAGGTGGATAGTGAGCACTCTGGAGACATTGGTCCACAAGGTGGATAGTGAGCACTCTGGAGACATTGGTCCACAAGGTGGATAGTGAGCACTCTGGAGACATGTTAAAAACATTTCAACAAATCATCATTAGAAATCCTTAAAAAAAGGAAAAAAAACCCGTTTACAAAACAGAAAGAGAAAAATGTAAATTTGAAGAAAAGCAAGATTTATTCATTGTCCTGTTGTGCCCCATTGTGTATCACATAGGGCTCACAGTCTATTCCTCTATTCCATTCTGTCCTGTGCAATCACTTCAATATCATGGATGGAATCCAGTCCAGCACCTTTGACCTGTCTCTTCAATGTTAGTTTTAGGGCTTCTTTTGGGCTCCCTCACCTCCACAATCTCCTTATTTCTCATTTTATGGCCTGCTGGTTCTGTGCTGATTTCTTTCTCAGGATGTGTCAGATATAGTGCCATCTTCTCTGTCATAACGATACTAGTGGTTGGCCAGACTTTCTCTTATTTTTTCATTTCTGTTGAATTCATTGTATGTTCATATTTTCCTCAGGCAAGACTAGAGCTGCTAAAGCCAGAATCCATTAAATGTGCACAGAAACTAATAAATAAGTTACAAATTGAAGAAGGACTGATAAAGAACAATATTTAGATGGCCTAGTAAAAAGAACAGCCAGATGAAATTGAGGAAGCCTATATAGCAACACAAGGGGAAAAGTAGAAAAGTTCTGATTTCTGCATGGACGAGAGGTGAAATTATGTCAGTGAAGTCCAGATCATCAAGCTGCTATTTCAGAGTCCATTGAATTCCATTTTTGATGGTATTTGTTGTCTAAATAACTTAGACAAAGGTCAGTAAGAATATTCAAGATGATAAAAGGCATCCTCGTCACACTTCTGTTGTTATTTTAAACTATTCTGTTTTTCTTATATGCATATATGTTTTTATATTACTTTTTAAATAATCTTCAATGGAAATTGCATAATGCCACATCTGTTTCCAAAGAGATTCCATTGATATCACAGACTTATTTTAGTCTGCAAATCCGATATATTGCTTTACTCTTTTATTATCTGTAAGTGGCTTGAAAACAATTGCAAAGACAACAAAACTACAAGAGCAGACTGTGCCCTAGCAGATCATAGATCACTGCAATATTACATAAAAATACAAGAGCAGACTGTGCCCTCAGTCAGATCATAGAAATACAAGAGCAGACTGTCACTGCATATTATAAGGAAATACAAAGACTGTGCCCCAGCAGATCATAGATCACTGCAATATTACAGTGAAATACAAGAGCAGATAGATCATAGATAGCAATCACTGCAATATTACAGGAAATACAAGAGCAGACTGTGCCCCAGCAGATCATAGATCACTGCAATATTACATGAAATACAAGAGCAGACTGTGCCCTAGTGGATCATAGATCACTGCAATATTACAGGAAATACAAGAGCAGACTGTGCCCCAGCAGATCATAGATCACTGCAATATTACAGGAAATACAAGAGCAGACTGTGCCCCAGCAGATCATAGATCACTGCAATATTACAGGAAATACAAGAGCAGACTGTGCCCCAGCAGATCATAGATCACTGCAATATTACAGGAAATACAAGAGCAGACTGTGCCCCAGCAGATCATAGATCACTGCAATATTACAGGAAATACAAGAGCAGACTGTGCCCCAGCAGATCATAGATCACTGCAATATTACAGGAAATACAAGAGCAGACTGTGCCCCAGCAGATCATAGATCACTGCAATATTACAGGAAATACAAGAGCAGACTGTGCCCCAGCAGATCATAGATCACTGCAATATTACAGGAATACAATACAAGAGCAGACTGTGCCCCAGCAGATCATAGATCACTGCAATATTACAGGAAATACAAGAGCAGACTGTGCCCCAGCAGATCATAGATCACTGCAATATTACAGGAAATACAAGAGCAGACTGTGCCCCAGCAGATCATAGATCACTGCAATATTACAGGAAATACAAGAGCAGACTGTGATCATAGATAGCAGATCATAGATCACAGCAATATTACAGGAAATACAAAGAGCAATCACTGTGAAATACCCCAGCAGATCCTAGATCACTGCAATATTACAGGAAATACAAGAGCAGACTGTGCCTTAGCAGATCCTAAATCACTGCAATATTACAGGAAATACAAGAGCAGACTGTGCCTTAGCAGATCCTAAATCACTGCAATATTACAGGAAATACAAGAGCAGACTGTGCCCCAGCAGATCATAAATCACTGCAATATTACAGGCAATATTACAGGAAATACAAGAGCAAACTGTGCCAAAACAGATCATAGATCACTGCAATATTACAGGAAATACAAGAGCAGACTGTGCCCCAGCAGCAGATCATAGATCACTGCAATATTACAGGAAATACAAGAGCAGACTGTGCCCCAGCAGATCATAAATCACTGCAATATTACAGGAAATACAAGAGCAGACTGTGCCCCAGCAGATCATAGATCACTGCAATATTACAGGAAATACAAGAGCAGACTGTGCCCCAGCAGATCATAGATCACTGCAATATTACAGGAAATACAAGAGCAGACTGCAGACTGTGCCAGGAAATACAAGAGCAGATCATAGATCATAGATCACGGCAATATTACAGGAAATACAAGAGCAGACTGTGCCCCAGCAGATCATAGATCACTGCAATATTACAGGAAATACAAGAGCAGACTGTGCCCCAGCAGATCATAGATCACTGCAATATTACAGGAAATACAAGAGCAGACTGTGCCCCAGCAGATCATAGATCACGGCAATATTACAGGAAATACAAGAGCAGACTGTGCCCTAGTGGATCATAGATCACTGCAATATTACAGGAAATACAAGAGCAGACTGTGCCCCAGCAGATCATAGATCACTGCAATATTACAGGAAATACAAGAGCAGACTGTGCCCCAGCAGATCATAGATCACGGCAATATTACAGGAAATACAAGAGCAGACTGTGATCATGGCAATATTACAGGAAATACAAGAGCAGACTGTAGATCATAGATCACTGCAATATTACAGGAAATACAAGAGCAGACTGTGCCCCAGCAGATCATAGATCACTGCAATATTACAGGAAATACAAGAGCAGACTGTGCCCCAGCAGATCATAGATCACTGCAATATTACAGGAAATACAAGAGCAGACTGTGCCCTAGTGGATCATAGATCACTGCAATATTACAGGAAATACAAGTGCAGACTGTGCCCCAGCAGATCATAGATCACGGCAATATTACAGGAAATACAAAGAGCAGCAGACTGATACGGCCCAGGAAATACAAGAGCAGACAGCAGATCATAGATCATGCAATATTACAGGAAATACAAGAGCAGACTGTGCCCCAGCGAGATCCAATATTACGGCAGAATAGATTACATGAAATACAAGAGCAGACTGTGCCCCAGCAGATCATAGATCACTGCAATATTACATGAAATACAAGAGCAGACTGTGCCCCAGCAGATCAGCAGATCATAGATCACTGTGGCATCACGGCAATATTACAGGAAATACAAGAGCAGACTGTGCCCCAGCAGATCATAGATCACGGCAATATTACAGGAAATACAAGAGCAGACTGTGCCCCAGCAGATCATAGATCAGCAATATTACATGAAATACAAGAGCACTGTGCCCCAGCAGATCATAGACTGCAATATTACAGGAAATACAAGAGCAGACTGTGCCCCAGCAGATCATAGATCACTGCAATATTACAGGAAATACAAGAGCAGACTGTGCCCCAGCAGATCATAGATCACTGCAATATTACAGGAAATACAAGAGCAGACTGTGCCCCAGCAGATCATAGATCACGGCAATATTACAGGAAATACAAGAGCAGACTGTGCCCCAGCAGATCATAGATCACTGCAATATTACAGGAAATACAAGAGCAGACTGTGCCCCAGCAGATCATAGATCACGGCAATATTACAGGAAATACAAGAGCAGACTGTGCCCTAGCAGATCATAGATCACTGCAATATTACAGGAAATACAAGAGCAGACTGTGCCCCAGCAGATCATAGATCACGGCAATATTACAGGAAATACAAGAGCAGACTGTGCAATATTACAGGAAATACAAGAGCAGACTGTGCCCAGTGCAGAGATCATAGATCACGGCAATATTACAGGAAATACAAGAGCAGACTGTGCCCAGCAGATCATAGATCACGGCAATATTACAGGAAATACAAGAGCAGACTGTGATCCCACAGCAGATCATAGATCACAGCAATCACTGCAATATTACAGGAAATACAAGAGCAGACTGTGCCCCAGCAGATCATAGATCACTGCAATATTACAGGAAATACAAGAGCAGACTGTGCCCCAGCAGATCATAGATCACGGCAATATTACAGGAAATACAAGAGCAGACTGTGCCCCAGCAGATCATAGATCACGGCAATATGTACAGGCAATATTACAAATACAAGAGCAGACTGTGCCCTAGCAGATCATAGATCACTGCAATATTACAGGAAATACAAGAGCAGACTGTGCCCCAGCAGATCATAGATCACGGCAATATTACAGGAAATACAAGAGCAGACTGTGCCCTAGCAGATCATAGATCACTGCAATATTACAGGAAATACAAGAGCAGACTGTGTCCCAGCAGATCATAGGTCACTGCAATATTACAGGAAATACAAGATGCTTTTTTTGTGCCCCAGCGGATCATAGATCACTGCAATATTACAGGAAATACAAGAGCAGACTGTGCCCCAGCAGATCATAGATCACTGCAATATTACAGGAAATACAAGAGCAGACTGTGCCCTAGCAGATCATAGATCACTGCAATATTACAGGAAATACAAGAGCAGACTGTGCCCCAGCAGATCCACTGCAGATCAGCAGACTGTAGATCATAGATCACTGCAATATTACAGGAAATACAAGAGCAGACTGTGCCCCAGCAGATCATAGATCACTGCAATATTACAGGAAATACAAGAGCAGACTGTGCCCTAGCAGATCATAGCAGATCATAGATCACTGTGCAATATTACAGGAAATACAAGAGCAGACTGTGCCCCAGCAGATCATAGATCACGGCAATATTACAGGAAATACAAGAGCAGACTGTGCCCCAGCAGATCATAGATCACGGCAATATTACAGGAAATACAAGAGCAGACTGTGCCCCAGCAGATCATAGATCACTGGCAATATTACATGAAATACAAGAGCAGACTGTGCCCCAGCAGATCATAGATCACTGCAATATTACAGGAAATACAAGAGCAGACTGTGCCCCAGCAGATCATAGATCACGGCAATATTACAGGAAATACAAGAGCAGACTGTGCCCCAGCAGATCATAGATCACGGCAATATTACAGGAAATACAAGAGCAGACTGTGCCCCAGCAGATCATAGATCACGGCAATATTACATGAAATACAAGAGCAGACTGTGCCCCAGCAGATCATAGATCACGGCAATATTACATGAAATACAAAATACAGATCATAGATCAGCAATATTACAGGAAATACAAGAGCAGACTGTGCCCTAGCAGATCATAGATCACTGCAATATTAATGAAAATTACAGGAAATACATAGAGCAGAGAGCAGACTGTGCCCCAGCAGATCATAGATCACGGCAATATTACAGGAAATACAAGAGCAGACTGTGCCCTAGTGGATCATGGAAAACTTCTTATGCAGAACACAATTCTGAAAACCCAATCAACTTATGCAACAAAAGCAGCAGACTATTGTTTTTTAGATTGTGAACTGGACACAATAGATTCTGCAGCCATATGTTCGAGAAATTCAAGACTGGGGACTCAGAACTGTGTCCATGTGGACAGGCACCACAGAATACCAAACTTATGCTTCAGAAATGCTCTCTGTGTGCCGTAAAGCACAAGTCTGGCCAATTGGTCTTTTGATGGTAACAAGTTGTTAGGATCAGTGAACGACATGCATCACATTAAAACTTTGGTAGAGGCCTGTAACCTAAGATTATCTGTAATGTTGCTGCTTCCTCAACGCAGTATCAACATAGTCTGGATGCTTGTCAGTTTACTTATTTTGTTGCTTTTGGCACTTTTTAATCTTTTCAGAAAAATCCTGCAGTGTAGTTTCCCAGGAACTCTGTAATTTCCACACTTTCTTTTATTCTTTGTTTGAAACTTTTATTAGATATATTTCTCACAAGTCTGGTAATATGTCTTTTGACTTTCAGACTGTTACATTATTAATCCAGTTATTTAGGTAATGTGTTTAAATTTGCTTTAACTTTTTGCCCTGTAGGAATCTTAAAAAAGAACACATTATTAGAATTCTCTGAAATTCTACTCTATGAAACTAGAGAAAAGGAGAAGAAGCAGACGCAGTTTGGAGTTGTGGTCATTCTTTTAAATGTCCAGAGGTTGAAACCTGTGACCACTGAGCAGACAAGCAAGCCTGCTACCTATTGAATCATCGTAGCCCTAATATGAATTAAAAAAAAAATATGTATGTAATTTTGTTACCCCCCCCCCCCCCCCCCCCCCCCCCCCAAAAAAAAAAAAACCCAGTCTGCTTTCTAGAAAAGAAAATACAAATAGCCCTACAACACAAGATTTAATTGCAGCTTAGATGAGCAAAATCTCATGCCGGGTGGAGTCTCACCATTCATGTGTACCACAAAGTCTCAGAAGTATGTCAAGACGGGACACACAAGGGTCATATACCCACTACTAATAGCCCTACTCATCTGAGTGTTGGGACCAATCAGGAAAGCCATGCCAGATGTATGCTTTCCTTATACTGTCACACAAAGAGTCCAGATGAAACAAGGTTAAAAGTGTCTAACGTGCTGAAGAAGATTGTGCCCATTTTTTCCTGACCTGCGGGCTGCTTCTCTTGATCTGTAAAGATGGGTGGGAAGGTCAACATATGGATGTGATGTTAAGCAGTCATGCGCAGGACATGACGATTCCTTATGTGACCACAGCATTATGTGTCTGGTCTGCATTTTTGGAAGCCTCCTTTGAATGCTATGGAATGCTTGTGATATGCCCTTGCCTTTCCTTGAGGACCAACCAGTTTAAACACGCTTACCTTTGATGTGGTCTCCAGGGGCAACACCTGTTGATTAAGGGACAAAGAAGACACCACATAATTAAGGCAACATCATATCCCAGGAAACTAACTAGTAAAAGCTAACCCAATGAACAAATGCCCGATGAAGTCAGATGTATCAACTGCAAGGCACAAATATTGCTGTAAACAGGCACAACACAATTAGGTCACTCAGAGGAATGAAAAAAAAGAAGATACAGGGGTAGTGACCACCACCCAAAGACTTCATATAATCAAAAACCCATAAATGCCAGAAAAACTGCTTTCTCGAACCAACAGGGTTCATCATTTCTCTAGGAATACTATTGGAACCAACAGCTTGGACTTGAGTTCTATATGTTTTATAATTTCTACCTTGGATCGTTTCTCATAACTGTTATTAACCTACTTTTGCTTAGTTTTTCTATGAGCATATCTGTCTGAGAAAACCTGTAGCTAGGATGTGAAACAAATAATTTAATGATATGCTTATTATTTTTATTTCCAACAGCTCGTCAGTGCTCCAAACGAGGGGGTGACTTGTGGGTGACCCTTGATGATCAGAGAGTCATTTTGACTGGAGAATCTGCTGTTGTTCTTCAGGGCACTTTTTTACTCTAGAATTAGAGGAGTGAATGTAATAGTTAATGTATAAGATGTGCCCGGCTCTCTAGCGGAATTGGCTAAACCGGATTTCGCGGAGACCGGGTGACGTACTCCTTGTGGTCCATGTTCAATCCCGGGGGTAGGCAGGAAAGCCACATTTTCTTCCAGATTTACGGTATTTACAATGGAATCAAGGCCGAAAGGTTGCGATATCCATAATACCGAGCCTAAGGGTTAACAACTCATGGCTTCTGGATACTAAAACAAACAAACAAACATGTATAAGATGTTATGTTGACAACTTATGAGAGCTGTTGTACTACAAGAAACTGCATTTGTAAACTTGATTCATTGTTATTAATTGTTCCTTATTTAATAAGTATACTATATTTACTTGGCTGGGTTGTGATATACAATTAACATAAGAAGAAAATATTGCAAAATTATATTATAATTGAGTAATACTGAGTATTACAAGCACATTACAGAAGAAATTAAAAAGATGATGAATGCAAGACAAATTTAACACATAGAAACATGGAAAAATAAACGGACTAGCAGCTTCAGGTACATTTATTGCAAAAGTCACGATTTTAACATGGTAATGAGCGTCGAAAATTATAATCACAGAGGTTGTGATCAACATAACCAGATGTAACCGTCGGCCTTTTACATAACATGCAATCATGGGAGTCAGCGGTTCAAATAATGTTATAAAAGTTTCTTTTGTTGTCAAATGAACTCTTTGTATTTCATATAAAACAAAACTGGCGTTGCATTTTTCAAATGCATATGTGTCTGTTTTATCATCTGCATTTCTATTCTGCTATAAATGTCATGCAGTCTGGTATTTATATGCACCATCATAAGTTTATTCACCTTGTTTAGAACACAAATGAAACTGATGATTTCATGTGTTCTATTCAGAAAAATGGTTTACAGAAGAAGGCTTACAGTTTTAGGCAGCCCGATTAAGGTTTTCAGACAGGCTAAAACACAGAAGACAAATGAATACCCCCACATGAAATCAAATGCAAAATAGTTAAGTCAAAAAGATAAATTCAGAGAATACATAAAACAAATGACACCCTAACTGCCACTGGGGAAACTTCATTTTAAGAAGTAGAATCTCATACATGGTCCGACAATTAAGTAATGAGACTGATTTTATTATGGCTAAGAAAAAAGTGCCATCTATGAAGCAAAGCATGGAATCCAAAGAGGCAACCTTCATATGATCTGGCATCTTTGCATTGCCACCTGATAAGCAGACGACAAACAAGCTGCCATTGTATTGACCTAGTTAGATGTGCATTGTTACGAAATCAGCATGGAGCCAAAAAAAAAAAAAAAAAAAAAAATACACCATTGAGACAGTTGAATTTTGTGGGGATAATTGTTTATCTGGTGCACAGATTTTCATGTGGTATTCATGATTCAAAAGTGGTGTAAAAAGTCACAAAACGGATACAAGAAGATAGTTGTTTTACTGTCAGGATGATGGCAGATGAATCTGGTGTTAATAAAAAATTGTACAATTTTAGTGCAAGATTTCAGCAAGAAAAAAGTTGCTTGCAGGTTTTTACTGCATTTGTTGACTAATGACCAAAAACATCAGCGGGTTGAGTACCCACGAAAAATCATCAAAACAGGAATTTTTGGCCCCAAATCAAGTGTGTCTTCTCAATTATCCACCCTATTACCTAGATTTGTCTCCTTGTGATTATTTTCTATTCCTAAAATTATTAAGTTACCATTGAACGGACGCTTCTTTGATGATATTGATGACATCCAAAGGGCCATAACATTGACTTTAAGGGCCATAGCAACAGAAGAACTACAGAGGTCTTTCCAGTGTTTGTTAGATCGTTCTACTCGATGTATCAATGCACAAGGGGCTTACTTTGAATAAAATACAGGTTATATCTTCAACTGTTGATTATTTTAATTTTTATGTAATTAGTCTCATTACTTAATTGTCAGACCTTGTATATTTAGAAAGTAGTGTAGACAAGTCTGTGGCTTAAGCCTTGCGATCTCAACTGCGGGCATTATATGTCCCATTTGTTTCGACAGTGGTATTGTGAAGCCGACCGTTTAGAAAGCAATGGCAAACTACTAGAAAAACCAGAACAGCCAAAAAATGCTGGGGTTGGTTCTGCAATGTCCTGTAAAGGATACGAAACTAAAAAAAAAAAAAAAAAAAAGTGTAGAAAAATGTATAGAACAGTGACAGAATTAAAAAAAGAAAACAACATAGCACTTGGAAATGTGTGGATTTCAACAGAAACTAAATCAGTCTCAGGATACTCAAGGACTCAAATCAGGACTGCTGTATAGATGAGAAGCATGTAGAATGACTAAAACAATTAATAATAAAGTATAAACAATGATTAACCTGTGTCTGTGCAGAACAGAAGGACTAAAATGTATACCATAATTCCGTTTATGGGTTCTGAATAGACCCACAGCACCAAGCATGTCTTAAAAGTGTTTGCTGAAATCAGTTGTGTACATATTTTGCAGACTAGCTTCAAACCATCACGCCATGTGCCATGATTTCAGTCACAGGCATGGGGGAAAGTAAGGGCCATTGTGATGTATAGGAAGAGTTACTCTGTACCTCACCTCAGGTGCCAGCTTGCTCTCTTCTGGTCTGTTTGATCCTCGTGCAACACTCCTGACACATGTCCCGATCATGCAACACAGATAATGCCTCCAGTGAGCATAAACTGAGCTATTAAAGGATCTCAGAGTTGGTGGCCCTCAGAGATGCAGTGCTCAGAAACCCTCTGGCTCTCATCAGCCCAGCCCCAGTGCATGGGTAAAATTATCTATCAAAACTATTTGGAACATGAGTGAAACCTGCTAGCTAAATATACTACCAAATGACAGCCCTTGGTTAAAGTATCTGTCGAGTGAAAGACCTACTGAACTGCTGAGACTCAGCCTTAGACCAAGAGATTTGCTTGCAGCTTAGACAAGCAACATCTTCTGTGGGCGGTATTGTGTGGTACAGTCCTGTATTCCTACATCCTTTGTTGACCCCTAAAGCCAACATCACTGCGTTGAGGTACACCATGATATCCTGCCACTTTCAGGCAGCTGATTAAGCTCAAAGTTTCATCAGAAAAATGTCCTATGGTGAACAGCGAAGTCTCAAATATCCAACCTTCCTACTTTTTGGCAAAAGGATCTGCTTCCATACACTCTGCATGCTGGCTGTCATCCACTCGACATGCTGTCATACACTCCACATGCTGATTTACTGTCATACACTCCACATGCTGTCATCCACTTGATATTCTGACCTGCTCTCATACACTCCACATGCTGATTTACTGTCATACACTCCATATGCTGTCATCCACTTGACATGCTGACCTGCTGTCATACACTCCACATGCTGATCTGCTGTCATAAACTCCACATGCTGATATGCTGTCATAAACTCCACATGCTGATATGCTTTCATTCACTCCACATGCTGACTTGCTGGCATGAAGTAACAAACACATGTCATTAGTATGCTGTCAAAGAGTAATATTTTCTTTTCTAAATTACATGAAGTACATAACAGTGTAGATTAATGATTATTTGGAGCAGCATCACGATTTGGTAATCTGATGTTTGTCTCTTAAATGCTGTGTTGTGAACATTTTGGACTGCAATATTTGGCAAACAGAGGTTTAAAAAAAATATGAAACAATAAAAATTTTAGGAATAAAGTGAAGATGGAATGGCTAAAACATCTTTAACAGAGAAGTACATGAAAATGCTGACATGCAAGAAAGTAAATATTAGAAAATAAAAAAAAATAAAAAATTCTGATACTAGTATTTTAGTAATCAGAAACATGGGCTATTAACAAAAATGTGACATTCAAGATGTGATACAGTCAATGAATGAACAGAATAAGCTGGACTAGAACAAAAGTTATATTTACTACTGCATCCTTAAAGGAAAATAAAACCTAAAAAAAAAGACCCAATAATTGCTTCCAGTAGTAAGAAAAGAAGTCTATGTTGGCCAGACCATGTTTCACACGACAAGGATCTGTTCAAGCAGAAAGAAGTGGAAAATGATATACTCCCATTTACCATTTAAAACTGTATGTGAGACACTGGTGTGAAATTCTTCTTCTCCTTTGCATTCACTGGCTGTAAACTGTAGCAGAAAGTTCTGTTTGTTCTTCCACCTCTAGATTTTAGTCTTGTTCCAGAACTTGAGTGTTGCTTGCACATTTGTTTTACTGATATGACTTATGTGTATGCAGACTATTGGTTCCTTGCCTCTCAGGCAGATGCACTCTGACTTTAAAGGAAGACCCCAATTAGTCAACTCTTATGAGATGCTTGTTGGTAAGGCATTGGATATATTCTTCTCAGGATGTGCCTAATACAACGTAATCTTCCTTGTGCTATAACTGCTGCTGATAGCAGTGGTTGTCCAGACGTTTCTCTTATTTCTTCAATGTCTTGAATTCATTTAATTTAATGTAGTTTATGTACGTCCTATTTTCCACATGCAGTTATTTTGTCACAACTGAAATCAGAATTAAGATTATCTTATTATTTATACAGTGTATACATATATCAGGAAAAATCTAGATTCATGATAAAAAGAAAAAAAGCTGGAAAGGAAAAAGAGGCAGAGGGAGACAGAGAGAGAAGAACAGTTTGACATAATGCCTTGAAGATCATCTGTGTCAGAATTGAATGAAAGTACAAGAGACAGAAGGTTGTGGAAAGACATGACTACCAACATCACCCAGCATGGACTTTAGGAATAACATACACACGTTTTATCAGACAGGCTAGGGCACACTTTCCACACCTAAGCTACTGGATATGAAGATTTTATTAAAAAAAAAAAGCCTAAAACCATTCCAAAAATAAATATAAAACATTTATTGAGAAACTGGAGGTATTTGTTTTTGTGTCTCATTTGTCAAGAAGCTGTGTTTGTTTGGCAGAGAATGAACGTGATAGCATTGTATTCTCACATTAAAAGAAGTTGAAGTGAATTCTGAACTTATCAGTGAGGAGGTATCAAAGCATTTTTAAAAATAAATGTTGGTTTCCTGTTCAAGTTCTAGTTTACTTGTTTTTGGGATCTCAACACAGTGTCACTCTAGACATCATTGATGCGTTCGATTTAAGGTCTTGTATCCAACAACCATTCGTATCAATGGGTAGGGGATGAGTTTTGAAATGTTCCCTGTGAAATACCTTTTAAGCCCCTATAAGGTGCGTTGTTTGGCCCACAATTGTTTTTTTAAGACAGAATACCTTTCACATAACAGCTGGAATCATGATGGGTCTTAAACACTAGATTACAAACTGTTAAAGGATCGGCTGTCTTACAAGCTTAACATTGATTCTGTCTTGGATTTTATACGATTTATGATAATTACAGTGATGAAATATGGCCACTTTGGGGTGTGGGGGGTTGAACCAAAGTGACAGATGTCTGCCTGCCTATTTTGCACGTAAAATCATTTTAGTTTAAGATATCCTTAATTGAACAACATACAACAGTCATATTTGTATCAGAAGTCATTCATTTTCTAAAAAAATATGTTCCATTCTGTGATTGCAGCCTGTGTTCAGTCATATACAATATACTAAAGATTTATACGGCTACTTGGTTAGTGACCTGCTGTTCAGTCTAGTTGGGAATGTGGTATAAATTGAAGAAGTCATCACTATAAAAAAAAAGCATATGGCAATACTGCAGTTGAGGAGTTTTTGTGTGATACAGGCTTGTATTCCAGTACATGAAATGCAAGAAAAAAATCAATGACAGATTTGCCCTGACAATGATTGATTCATTCTGAGAGGCAGTAGCTTACCAGGGACAATATTGATCCATTCTGAGAGGCAGTAGCTTACCAGGGACAATATTGATCCATTCCGAGAGGCACAAGCTTACCAGGTACAATGATTGATCAATTCTGAGAGGCAGTAGCTTACCAGGGACAATGATTGATCCATTCTGAGAGGCAGTAGCTTACCAGGGACAAGTGATTGATCCATTCTGAGAGGCAGTAGCTTACCAGGGACAAGTAATTGATCCATTCTGAGAGGCGGTAGCTTACCAGGGGCAATGATTGATCCATTCTGAGAGGCAGTAGCTTACTAGGGGCAATGACTGATCCATTCTGAGAGGCAGTAGCTTACCTGGGACGATGATTGATCCATTCTGAGAGGCAGTAGCTTACCAGGGGGAATGATTAATTCATTCTGAGAGGCAGTAGCTTACCAGGGACAAGTAATCGATCCATTCTGAGAGGCAGTAGCTTACCAGGGACAAGTAATTGATCCATTCTGAGAGGCAGTAGCTTACCAGGGGGAATGATTAATTCATTCTGAGAGGCAGTAGCTTACCAGGGACAAGTAATCGATCCATTCTGAGCGGCAGTAGCTTACCAGGGACAATAATTGATCCATTCTGAGAGGCAGTAGCTTACCAGGGACAAGTAATTGATCCATTCTGAGAGGCAGTAGCTTACCAGGGACAAGTAATTGATCCATTCTGAGAGGCAGTAGCTTACCAGGGGGAATGATTAATTCATTCTGAGAGGCAGTAGCTTACCAGGGACAAGTAATCGATCCATTCTGAGAGGCAGTAGCTTACCAGGGACAATAATTGATCCATTCTGAGAGGCAGTAGCTTACCAGGGACAAGTAATTGATCCATTCTGAGAGGCAGTAGCTTACCAGGGGGAATGATTAATTCATTCTGAGAGGCAGTAGCTTACCAGGGACAATAATTGATCCATTCTGAGAGGCAGTAGCTTACCAGGGACAATAATTGATCCATTCTGAGAGGCAGTAGCTTACCAGGGACAAGTAATCGATCCATTCTGAGAGGCAGTAGCTTACCAGGGACAATAATTGATCCATTCTGAGAGGCAGTAGCTTACCAGGGGCAATAATTGATCCATTCTGAGAGGCAGTAGCTTACCAGGGGCAATAATTGATCCATTCTGAGAGGCAGTAGTTTACCAGGGGCAATAATTGATCCATTCTGAGAGGCAGTAGCTTACCAGGGGCAATAATTGATCCATTCTGAGAGGCAGTAGTTTACCAGGGGCAATAATTGATCCATTCTGAGAGGCAGTAGCTTACCAGGGGCAATAATTGATCCATTCTGAGAGGCAGTAGCTTACCAGGGGCAATAATTGATCCATTCTGAGAGGCAGTAGTTTACCAGGGGCAATAATTGATCCATTCTGAGAGGCAGTAGTTTACCAGGGGCAATAATTGATCCATTCTGAGAGGCAGTAGTTTACCAGGGGCAATAATTGATCCATTCTGAGAGGCAGTAGCTTACCAGGGGCAATAATTGATCCATTCTGAGAGGCAGTAGCTTACCAGGGGCAATAATTGATCCATTCTGAGAGGCAGTAGTTTACCAGGGGCAATAATTGATCCATTCTGAGAGGCAGTAGCTTACCAGGGGGAATGATTGATCTGGAATATCTGGCATAATCTGCTAAAGTCAATCCTTACGTCCTTTTTAGGATAAAATTTTTTTGTTATTTGAAGCCCCACCCTGGCTTTGCCAGGGGCCGCAATATAGGCAGGCCATAAATATGGCCAATTGTCTGAACGCGGTTTCTGGGACCTATCCACGGTGATCCTCATCCACATGGTGGCACTTTGTGTCATCGGGTGTTTATCGCTTGTGTGATGTCCTGGTAGGGTAGCAAGTCAGTCAGTCGGCCAGACATTGTGTAGTTTTTTTGTCCTTATGTTCTTGTCTCAAAGGGACATGGAAGTTATGGATTAACATATGTTGAGGAGTTATCAGTGTGACAGTGCAGCTGAAAGGGGTTTCAAGATTCCATGAATGCTTCCAGCTCTTGGAACATTGGCAAACTGTGTACTTGTTATGAAAGTTTTGTTTGAATAAATGCACTGTTACTTACTTTATATATATAACACACATACATTTATATATATATATAAATATAAATGTGTGTGTGTGTGTGTGTACACACACACAACTACACTTCTCAACTATTGGTCATTATGATGCTATTTCATATTGTACACTTCCCGTGCGGGTTCCGGGGCCCTGTTATAGGGAAAACAAGAATATACCCACTGACTAGCCAAGAGCATATTGTAAGAGTCGACTAATTGGAAGCTTCCTTCAAAGGCATGGAACCAGCAGTCTGCATACAAATGAGTCATATCTGTAAAACGGATGCACTCGTAACACTCAGGTTCTGGAACAGGACTGCAGTCCAGAAGTGGATGAACAACCAGAACTTTCTGCCAGAGTTTACAGCTTGTGAATGCGAAGAAGAAGAAGAATATTTTACATTTACATGCATTGATCTCATATCTCATTAGAACATCTTACATACACTGTAGACTTGAGCAGAAGGGGCATGTTTCTCAGACCATCAGAGCAGGATACTTACAGCTGAGTCTCATTGACTCCCCACATGATTCTCACTTACAGCATCCAACTCTTTACTTGTAGCACCCATGTCTTCATTTCTGGTATCCACAAGACTGGTTTCATTGGCTTCTTCATAGAGAGATTGATTTGTTGCCAGAGTGTACAAGATCTCTATGCTCATATACAGGCTGTGGAGAAATACATGCTTGTAGTCATCATCATATTGACTGACTTGTGATCATTCATACACACAGGGCACAGTTATTTTTCTTCTCATTAACTTCCTGGTTTACCGCTTTGGAAATACAAGGTTCTGCTTCTGGCTTTTCTGGCTCGACCATAAACACAGTATAATGTTGTAGAGTTTTTCTGATGCTATCTTTCCATCATGTTCATTATCTACTTTATGCTCTATATCAGTATCCTCTTTTGGTGTATGCCTTGTATGGTATTGTGGGACACATTAATATTTGTGAGTTTGCTGACAGTGATTAGTGAAAATAATGAATCCACATAAAGCTTGTGAATCAAGTATTCCTAGAGAATCTCAAGTAGAGGAACTGTGGACATCACGGATGTGAACAAGTGAAAAAGTGTTTTCCATGTGCAAGGAAAAAGATATTGTAAATATCATGGAAAATGCAGTTACTTTTACTCAGTAGCACACAAGCAGTAATTGTCTCAGACTCAATGAATATGCTTCAGAAAATAGCAACAGGCAGTATGCGCTCTGAATGGATAGAAAGCATTCGGAAATCGCACTTAACTTCCGTAACCTGGATCTACACACCGGGTCATGCGGGCGTAAAGGGAAATGAGCGAGCGGACCAACTGGCAAGCACAGCACTAATGATTGCGGGAAAAAGCATGGACAGAGCAGATATCGTTAACGCTGTACGTACTGGGCTAGTGGATAATATCGAATCCCTGACACTAACACGATTGCGTGACATGGGAGTTAAGCATGGTGAAGCACGTCTTTGCCGTCTGCGAGGCCGAGAAAGGAGACAATATAACCAGCTTCTCATGGGGACAATTAGTAGAAGTACTTTGGAGTGGCTGCTGCTTCGGAGGACTGCGCACGCATGGGTGTGCCCATTGTGCAGTGACGTCGATTGTGATAACAAAACACAAAATAAAATTTTGTAGGAAGTCGTCATTCCGAAACCCAAGTTCAAGGTGTCTCCTTCGTGCCAAAGAACTGCATGGCTGTTGGGTGAACAGTCGTTAACGAAGGCAGTCAGGTCGTTGTAGGGGCGACGCCTGCTGGTGGATGTAATGTCCTAAGTCCCTTTCCCAGCTAATAGTGAGGGTACTGCTGGGGTGACCATTTGTTAACCCCTCACATAATGCTTCAAGTCACAGTGGACACTAGGCACGACCACTTTTTTTTTTTTTTTTTTTTTTTTTTTAAGCCGTGGCAGTTCTGCCAGGCGGTGGCCGTTGCATTTTTGCTCCATTTGTAGACTGGAAGGATATAGTTTCGTCACCCAGCTTCTGAGTTGAGTGCATGGTGTGACACTGTGAGCTACGAGTGTTTTTCGTTGGCACAGGAGCGGAGCAACAATGGGGTGACCCGTTTGCTATGATGCTGAAACTAGGATTACCAGATTACCAGATTACTCAGTAGCCTTTAGTCTGCTGGAGCCTGCAGGAAAATGAGACATGTACATTATACACAACAAATGAGGAGGATGGCAAGACAGTCAATTAATAGAATTCCAGAGGGTGTTCAAATGAATTGAAAACAGCTTAGTCATTAGCGAGGGTTCCAATATCACTGCAGATGGGTTGCTCCATAACTTCTCCATTCTTTTGTGAATGAAAGTCACACCAAATTTCCTTCCCTGTCCTATTTGAAAACTAGTGAAAAACTTGTCAAGTGAAGCAAAAAGTGGAACCTTGCAAAGTAAAAATATAAAAGACAGCTGTCACATGTGCCAACACTAATGGTCACACACCAGAATTGCAGCTCCCTGTTGGCGCACATGGTCAGTCACAAAAGCCGGCATTGCACCAATAAAAGTACATGCTATTCTGAAAGTAACTGGCCACACAGCCATTTTGGTGCAGTCAAAAACACGCTGCTCGCACAACAGACAAAACATTTCACATGAATTCTCCAGCTCAAACCAAGCACTCAAATCAGTAGCTGGGTGATAGAACCTTTGGACTCCTGATAAAGAAATGGGGAGTTAACATCAGAAAAAAACCTAGCGGGGAAAAAACACACCAAACTTTTCATAACTTCAGTGATCAGCCATCTGTTGGCAAGAAGTAAAGTGAGCTGTTCAGCAAAACTATGTAGACTCTTAGTGGCATTCGAAGGGCTAACATTGGATTTTTTATATTTGTCCATTTACGGTGGACATGAGATAAGGAGCAACAGCTATGTATTATGTTTGGCCAGCTTCAGACTTCATGACAGGATGTGGTTGTATCACGTGGCTTGTCTGGATTATAATGCAGGTAGTTGTGGGTGGCTTTAGAAGAGGCACACAGGTGCACATTGCTGTATTTTGGGAATATAAGGGTGTTCAAATTAAGGTCTTCCCTGCAACGACCTGCCTCTAGGAGGCAACCCAAAGCTTTACTTCTTCATGGAATTAGCTGCCTTTGAGACTATATGTGTTGTGTGGGGGTGGTGTCAGGGAGTGACCTTAGTATACTAACACTCATTTATTTCATTAATCATAGATTCAGTGTAGTCAAAGGTATATCCATGAATAAAAAGCACTAATCACACAAGTACAGTTTATTTTAGGTGGTATGTTTAATACTGGTGTTCAGATGTTGGAAAGCTTTTGATATAACCTGTGGAACCTGTGGAACCTCTGTGTTATGTTAGCTATGATAGTCAATACTTCTAGACTTTGGTTAACCATTGGACCAAACACCTGTATATCTTCAAGCTCAGTGCCAGCATGTACCATACCGTCCCCAAGGTTCAGCCAGCTGTCATCAGAGGTTCAGCTACTGTTTTTAAAGCTCCTTTAAACTTTGACGCAAAACTGCCCAACAGCTCTTTTGCCTTTTCCTGTCTCTTTCCCCCTCTGATTTTATAGTTTTCCCAGCATACCCTAGTTTTCCCCTTCTATCTTGTATCAAAAAATGTGGAGTAAGTACATTGTATGCAATCAGTTCCTGTTGTGAGTTAATTTATTTCAGAACACCTTCATTGCTTGTTCTATTTGTTCATGTTGTTAAGAGAAGGACACCAACACCTAAATATGTTACATAGTAGTAAATTGAGTCCTAACACAAGTCAGGTGGACACTAATTTTCAACTGACGAATCGGGTCAAGCATTGCTGACCCTTCAATATTATTCAGTAATCAAAAATGAAATAAAACAGACATATCCTCTGTGGAAGAAGTATTCCATCACTGTGAAACAGATGACTTGAATCACTTGTCATAGTTTTGTGCTGACAGTCAAACTAAACAAAAAGAAGACTAGTAGCTATCTGTTGTGTTGTTCTGTCAGGACCAGGTGCTGTGTTCGTTTCTGACTATACTCAAAGTTATGTGTGAACCACAGCATGTATCTTCTTTATGACCTAGGCATATCTGTGTCACAAAACACTTTCAAAACTCACTTGTCTTTGCTCAGTGTCTTTAGCTTGTCACGTCCAGTTATCTCTTTGTTATGTATCAGCTGTTTTACATGTTTTCTTTATGAAATATATTTAAACTCTTATAAGTACATCTCTATATTATATAATCTCATTTGTATTTAGCAACCATGAAGGAAATAAATTTCTTTATTTTTATATCCTGTTTTTTGTTTTGTTTTGTTTATGGCACAGTAACTAATTGCTTGATACAAATTGCTTGATACAATATTTGTAAACAGCTCTGACTTCTTCCATGCAGGCCTTCTAGTGTTTCATCAGGGACTTGGACAAGAAAGGCATTAAAAATAATAGTTTGTCGATGCCACACAGTCTCTGTGTTCCCGAGATCTTTGTGATTGTAAATATTTCTTTTTAGCAGATAATCGTAAAAGGTTTTTCTTGCATGCATGTTATTACATTAGCTTATTCTTTCATATTAATTGTTATGAAAATAAAAGCAACATATGACTTGTACCTTGATTTGTAGTTATAATACTTTGATGTAAAGAAGGATTGCAGTAATTCCAGAAATGTTTTCTGAACTTCTTTACTGGCAGCTTGCCTTTCTGCTAACATCTGCTGGTAGTGGGGCAGGTTGGGATCTTTGTGATACTTCTGCAGAGTTTCATTGACTGTCAAAGAGACAACATTGCAAACACAAGTCAGAGAAATCATGGACAAGATACAGTTCCTGGCCAGAATAACTCAAACATTTTGACAAGATACTCATACACTTGCCTTTATGTTTCTACTCTTGTCAGTTATTATAAGAACAGAAAAATGAGTTTAAAATATCTCCTTAACATTATACAACGTTTCAAAATATTAATAATTTATGAAATTATTGTCTTCTTCTCAGTTTGTTGTATGTTCATTTCTGGTTTTTGTTGTCTGCTCATTTCTGGTGTTTGTTGTCTTCTCATTTCTGGTGTTTGTTGTCTTCTCATTTCTGGTGTTTGTTGTCTTCTCATTTCTGGTGTTTGTTGTCTGCTCATTTCTGGTGTTTGTTGTCTTCTCTTTTCTGGTGTTTGTTTGCTCATTTCTGGTGTTTGTTGTCTTCTCATTTCTGGTGTTTGTTGTCTTCTCATTTCTGGTGTTTGTTGTCTGCTCATTTCTGGTGTTTGTTGTCTTCTCATTTCTGGTGTTTGTTGTCTTCTCATTTCTGGTGTTTGTTGTCTTCTCATTTCTGGTGTTTGTTGTCTGCTCATTTCTGATGTTTGTTGTCTTCTCATATCTGTTGTTTGTTGTCTTCTCTTTTTTAGTGTTTGTTGTCTTCTCATTTCTGGTGTTTGTTGTCTGCTCATTTCTGGTGTTTGTTGTCTTCTCATTTCTAGTAGTTGTTTGCTCATTTCTTGTGTTTGTTCACTCATTTCTGGTGTTTGCTGTCTGCTTATGTTTTGGCAGTGGCATATCATTCAAATTTTGTATTTGTTGATTGATTTTCCAAGTGAAAGGAAACTCATGCAACAAAATTTGTGTAAACATTCATTTATGATAACCAAATTCAAATACAAGTAACACATTTCTATATAACATAACAGAAGTTGAAGAAACATGTTTCTTGTTCGAAAATAATATAGGGATTTCAGTATTGCATAAAATGTTACGCTGTATCATTTTGTGTGTGCGTGCGTGCCTGCCAGCTATCACTGTACTGGTTTTGTAGAACACCATCCAAGCCTTGCACCATCATAATTTACCACAGATAAACAGCCACCGTGCTCCTGAATCAGATTGGCGGGGAATTTGCTAGTTGCTAGGCCCTGAATATGCACTGACTAGAAACCACGCCATGGAGACGCCTATGGCAATCATTAACCTAGCAGTGTCGGCACTAAGAAAAGACTCGGCTGGAGGGTGAGAAAGCGTCAACATTAAAACAACCATATTTACTTCACTTGACTCAACCTATGATCAGCTAAAGGCTGCATAAAGCTGGGATCCACTGAAAGCTGGGTCGAGCTGGGATCAACTGAAGGCTGGGTCGAGCTAGGATCAACTGAAGGCTGGGTCGAGCTGGGATCAACTGAAGGCTGGGTCGAGCTGGGATCCAAGTTAATTTTTTTGAAAAATATCAGGTGCCGCCAGGACCCAAACCAACGGCCCTCCGACCCACAGGCGAGCATCTAGCAGCTACACCACGGCGGCTCGCCAGAATGACTACGGCTTCCTTAAAGTATGTTTAAGTTGACGTCTGAAGGTAAACGGGGCGAAAACAATCTTTAAACTAACTGACTGGAATAGTGCTTTCCGTATTCGTGAAACTTACAGAAAGTGAATAATAGTCAGCCAGAGGAATTTAATTATTTGGGAGCAATTTTTACATCCGCCGGAAAACTGGACAGAGAAATTAGCTCCAGATGTGCAAACGCTAATCAAGTAATGGGTCAACTATCTCCCCTGTTGAGACACAAGTAGATACCTTGGAGTACTAAAGTAAATCTTATTAAAACTTTTTTTGGGCCAACACTATGCTATCAATGCCAAACGTGGACACTTACATCCTCCAATAAATGTAAAATTGTGGCAACAGAGATGAAATGCCTGAGAAGAGCTGCAGGAGTTTCAAAGAAAGACACAATACGAAATCATGAAATCAGACGAATGCTAGGAATAAAGTCACAGTCTTACAGGTCATCAAAGAACAACAAATGAAGTGGTTTGGACACCTGACAAGAATGCCCTGGTACTATTTACCACAGGGAGCCACACTAAAACGTTACAACGGGTATAGAGCGAGTGGAAGACCTCGGAAAATATGGAGTGATGGCATTAAGAACAGCCTTACAGAAATGAACATCAGTCTTAATAGTGCTTTTGACAGAGCTCATCAACGAACATTACATCTCCCTCCGACACTTGGATGAGGTAAAAGGTGGAAGAGAAGGAGAAGAAGAAGAAGAAGAAGAAGAAGAAGAAGAAGAAGAAGAAGAAGAGTCAGCTGCAACACATACTGACAAACAGCACAGTGCCTAAGACTGTTTCTTGATCTGTAGCCTAAGGGTGCTGCCCGGGAAAAATGTGGAGTTCAAAATCTACCCAAAAGTATTTCAGCATCCTCGCCGGTGTTACGGAGTTCGTGCACTGCGCTAAGAATGTTCGGACTCAGGCTTAAGTTAGAAGTAGAACGGAGCACTGATGGGTTACTAGCCTGGTGCCATGATGTTGAGCCGTCGTCTAATCCTACACTTAAAGCCAGTTTCTTGATCATGGCTTATCAAACTTGCTTTACTTGATGTTTGTGTATTCGAATCTTTCAGTTGTGATCAAAGTCAGCTCTGTAATAAACGTTGTTGTGTGCCCTTGGAAGACGTTGTTGTGTGTCCTTTAGAAGACGTTGTTGTGTGTCCTTTAGAAGACGTTGTTGTGTGTCCTTTAGAAGACGTTGTTGTGTGTCCTTTAGAAGACGTTGTTGTGTGTCCTTTAGAAGACGTTGTTGTGTGTCCTTTAGAAGACGTTGTGTGTCCTTTAGAAGACGTTGCTAGAGAATGCTAGCATTTGTTGGCTGTTTGGTTTTACCAGGCAATTTTACTTTCTGCAGTTTGCCATTGCTCTCTGAAATTTCAGCTCTTTATATCATTGCCAAAATCAATGCAAACTTATGTTCTGCCTGCTACCATTTATCTCGGAATTACGAAGCATGATCTGAGTACCCAAGCTAACGAGTACACATCAAAATAAAAATGCACTAACTTAGATAAGACAAACATCTTACATGAAGATGATTTGTTGTAATCTTCTTCAAACTGCATGTAGCGTTTCATAAAGGCCTGCCTGGTGCTGTTTACATAGACATACATGTAACACGAGGGTGTGTTTGAAACAGTGTGCACTTTATGGAATGCATCAGCTGTGATCTGAAATAAAAAAGATGATGTCATAGAAGGGCTGCTGGAGAACTCTGTTCTTTGATTTACTGCACTTTTTGCTATCACACTTAGCTTTGTTTGCATGGTCTACTGTGGTTATATTTTATAATTAGATTTGAAAATCCACCCACATAGATTGTATTTTGTATGCTAGAGTACACTTAGGTACATACAGTTCATAAAACTTTTTTTACTTGGTAATTATTGTCTGTATTGACATCGAAGACCATGAATACTAGTTGGAGGTTATGATATAAACAATCTTCGTTATGCAGATGATACAGTATTAATAGCTGAAAACCCAGAAGACCCACAACAACTATTAGACATTGTTCTACTAGAGAGTGCACAAATTGACTCTCCTTGAATATCAAGAAAACAGAAACAATAGTTTTATCAAAGAAAAAGATAACCCCAAAGTGGGAATGTGCCTAACCAAGTCAATAAATGTAAGTATTTGGAAACATTCATAATATCAGATGGAGGATATGTGACAGAAATTAGGAGCATAATTGGACAGGAAGAGGCAGCTTTTGGGAAGGTAAAAAGCAAATTTTATTTAATAAATCACCCTTATTAAACATCAGATAATGAGTATTGAAATGTCTATTCTGTTGTAAGGCAGTGAATCGTGGAATGTGAGCAAACTAATTGAGAAGAGTTTGGAGGCAACTGAGATGTGGTTCTTGAGAAGAATGTTGAGAATATCTTGGACTGCAGGAGTAACCAACATTGAATGAATGAAAATGGCTAATGAAAGTAGAACATTATATAAAACAATAAGAAGGAGACAAACACATTTCTGTGGTCATGTGATTATAAAACGAACACTGGAAAATATCGTGACGACTGGAAAGATTACCAGTTGAGGCAGACCAAGAGAAATGATGGTGGATGGTTTATGACAGTGGTATGGAGGAATATCATCAGTAGAATTGACCCGGAACACCAAAGACCGAGATCTGTGGCGACGCATGAACGCCTATGCCAGCACATACGGCACATGATAATGTCAGTGCTGAGTGGCATCATATCACATAGTTCCGACAAGTTCGTGCTGCGTCCTCCGATGCAGCAGTCCTCTCACTGTCTCCTTGCTAAACGAACCCAGTAGCAGTTGACTGGCATCTTTTGTCTTTACTCAGCAACCGATTTCCAAATGTTCGTCATCATTTCCAACAGGCGGTTCATCGTCTCTGACTCATCTGTCTCAAAGTTTCTAACACACTGCGCATTCAAAGTGTCTGCCCTGTCCATACTTCTTCCTCCATTACCACTGCAGACACGACCAGTCTGTCGGTTCTTTCGTTTGTTTTGTACATCCTCAATGTTTAATGGCTGCAGAGGCTATTTTAATGCCAGCCTTGAAGTCTTCGTACGTATCATGAGCGAACACTGCGGCATTGGTCCAGGTGTCCTATAGTGATCTAATTCCTTCAAAGGTGGGGCAAGTAACCCTTCAGATCTGAGAAAGTCCACACGCTATGATCTTTCAAATAAGTTTTCCTGTCCTAGTTTGCAAAGTAATAATCATATGGCCACTTATTCTGGTGTAGTCCCTGCCAGGTTTAGGTACAGATTTAAGGTGAAGCCAGTTAACAGGAGCTGAACCAATCCTGTTACTGTCATTATATAAATTGCAAAATTTCGCTAGCTCAGTTTCTTCCATGCTCATTATGTCCTCATATTCCACCCCATCATGCCCTTGACTAATATTTCCTGAACGGCTCAGTTGCTTTCAGTGGCCACACGGGATCTCTTTTGTGGATGCTTCTACAGTTCCAGTAATTCACTGATATTTTTTTCTGGACAGCTTTTCCATTGCATTCTCTTTACACCAGCACATCAGTTTCTTTCTCTTTGTCCCCTTTCTTTCCCTTCTCATAAAAGTATCACACAACGTTATTAATATTATGATTATCTTTTTTTTTTTTTTTTGCACCCGGTTGTTCTCTTGTTCAAAGATGTTAGCATTTCCTTATAAAAACAATACTGGCGGTCTCTGTGACTATGAAATGTTCATTTTTAGGTCATCTACTCAGCAAAAGTGCCACAGTCTTTTCCCAAACAAAACGAACGCTGTTCTTAAAGGGTACACTCCGTAAGTACAGTCGCCATTTTGTTTCTGTGTTGCGAATGTGCAACACCCAGCACCAACTAACGAACGGAAACATCAAGTTGGATGTTGCTGTCACCCAATGACACCTTTGGAAACCACCAACTACATATTCCTGCCATCCCATAACCATTTGTGACTTACTTATTGAATTCAGTTCGTATATTGCTATAAAGTGTACCGGTATTATTTCAGAGCGAGTAAAAGAGATGTTAACACATTTTGTGGGCTATCATCTTTGTTGGCTACCTGTACAACAAGACAACATTTAGAAACCTCAATAACTTGTGAAAGCTCAAGTATGATACTCAAAGGAATGTCAGTGACATAGTTGTAATATCAGATTCTGAATGTAGCCTGACAACCATTTCAGACAGGATGACGGAGGAAAATGAGAACAGCGTGTTAACTTTAGATATTAAAAGATGTCTGCGGCAAAGTGGTCAAGACGTTAGCCTCGCGATCTCAAGTTCTTGGGTTTGTTTTACGGATGCGTCGTTTGGTTCATAAAGTATGACTTAGAACTGTCACTGGAGCTTCTGAATTTTGCCTTGTGTGACGTTTTCAGCGGGCAGCGAGCCGTTCTGTGGAGACTGAAACAGATGGTTTAAAACCCGATGCAATGAAGTTTATTCGCTCAGCTTTCACTTAACAGCATTAGATGTTAACGAACTAAACACATCGTAGTTTACAAGATAGTGCACATTTCAGTTGGCGCAATATGTAGGACAGTTACAGAAATGACACAGATCAACTATTTTCAAAAAAAAAAAGTTGGGTTTCCTTGTTTTGAGATGGTCTGTGTAGGGTTTGTCTCCAAACCCAGATGTCTAAAAAGAAGACCGATTTTACAGTGTAGGTGAAGGGTAAACATTAAAAATAAATTGTGTATTTCCTATCTTACTCACAACGCATTTTGAAATGTTCTGTAGAGACAGGAGCTCCACTAGCACACTAGTCTCATCTCAAAGACTACCGCCTGTGTTAGTCTCCACGAGCCAACTATCTCATCTCAAAGACTACCGCCTGTGTTAGTCTCAACCTGCCAACTATCTCATCTCCAAGACTACCGCCTGTGTTAATCTCGATCTGCCTACCAGCCTCGTCTCCAAGACTACCGCCTGTGTTAATCTCGATCTGCCTACCAGCCTCGTCTCCAAGACTACCGCCTGTGTTAGTCTCGACCTGCCAACCAGCCTCGTCTCCAAGAATACCGCCTGTGTTAGTCTACACCGCCAACTAACTCATCTCCAATACTACTGACTGTGTTATTCTCTGCCAGCCAACTAACTCATCCCCAAGACTATCGACTGTGTTAGTCTCCAGCAGCTTATTCAACATATCCGTGACTGCTGTCTACATCCAAAAGCCATGTCAACATTTCTGGTGTTGACGTCTACAACTAGAAGTCATCAACATTTGTATGAATTATGTCTACATCTAGAAGCCATGTCGACTTTTTTAATGACTGATGTGAACATCAAGAAGTCATGTCAACATTTATATTGCTAATGTCAACATCTAAAGACTGTGTCAACATTTAATGTGGCTTATGTCTACATCTAAAAGCAGTGTCAACTTTTTTTGTGGCTGATGTCTACATCTAGAAGCCATGTCAACTTTACTGTGGCTGATGTCTACATCTAGAAGTCATGTCAACAAGTCTGTAGCTGATGTCTACATCCAGAAGCCATGCCAACATTTGTGTGGCTGATGTCTACACGTAGAAGCCATATCAATATTTGTATGACTTATGTCTACATCTAGAAACCATGCAAACGTTTTCTATGACTGATGTGAACATCTAGAAATCATGTCAACATTTGTATGGCGAATATTTACATCTAGAAGCCGTGTCAACATTTTTATGTGGGGCTGATGTCTACATCTAGACGCCATGTCAACTTTACTGTGGATGATTAGAAGTCATGTCAACAATTCTGTGGCTGATGTCTACGTCTTGAAGCCATGTGAACACTTGTATGTCTGATATCTTCTAATGTCAACAATTCTGTACCTGATGTTTACATTTAGAAGCCATATCAACACGTCTGTGGCTGATGTCTGGACGCAGAAGCCATGTCAACATTTGTATGACTTATGTCTACGTCTAGAAGCCATGTCACCTTTTCTATGACTGATGTGAACATCTAGAAGTCATGTCAACATTTTTATGGCTAATGTCTCTACATCTTGAAACAGTGTCAACATTTTGTTTGTTGATGTCTACATCTAGAAGACATGTCAACTTTACTGTGGCTTATGTCTCCATCTAGAAGTCATGTCAACAGTTCTGTGGCTGATGTCTCCATCTAGAAGCCATGTCAACAGTTCTGTGGCTGATGTCTCCATCTAGAAGTCATGTCAACAGTTCTCTGGCTAATGTCTACATCTAGAAGTCATGTTAACAATTATGTGGCTGATGTCTACATCTAGAAGTCATGTCAACAGTTCTGTGGCTTATGTCTACATCCAGAAGTCATGTCAACAGTTCTGTGGCTGATGTCTACATCTAGAAGCCATGTCAACAGTTCTCTGGCTAATGTCTACATCTAGAAGTCATGTTAACAATTATGTGGCTGATGTCTACATCTAGAAGTCATGTCAACAGTTCTGTGGCTAATGTCTACATCTAGAAGTCATGTCAACAGTTCTGTGGCTAATGTCTACATCTAGAAGTCATGTCAACAGTTATGTGGCTAATGTCTACATCTAGAAGTCATGTCAACAGTTCTGTGGCTAATGTCTACATCCAGAAGTCATGTCAACAGTTCTGTGGCTAATGTCTACATCTAGAAGTCATGTTAACAATTATGTGGCTGATGTTTACATCCAGAAGCCATGCCAACATGTGTATGGCTGATGTCTACATCTAGAAGCCATGTCAACTTTACAGTGGCTAATATCTACATCTAAAAGTCATGTCAACCTTACTGTGGCTGATGTCTACATCTAAAAGTCATATTAACTTTACTGTGACTGATGTCTACATCTAGAAGTCATGTCAACCTTACTGTGGCTGATGTCTACATCTAGTAGTCATGTCAACCTAACTGTGGCTGATGTCTACATCTAAAAGTCATATCAACTTTACTGTGGCTGATGTCTACATTCAGAAGTCATGTCAACAGTTCTGTGGCTAATGTCTACATCTAGAAGTCATGCTAACAATTATGTGGCTGATGTTTACATCCAGAAGCCATGCTAACATGTGTATGGCTGATGTCTACATCTAGAAGCCATGTCAACTTTACTGTGGCTGATATCTACATCCAGAAGTCATGTCAACAGTTCTGTGGCTAATGTCTACATCTAGAAGTCATGCTAACAATTATGTGGCTGATGTTTACATCCAGAAGCCATGCTAACATGTGTATGGCTGATGTCTACATCTTGAAGCCATGTCAGCATTTGTATGGTTGATATCTTTGTCTAAAACTCATTTCAACATTTCTGTGGCTGATGTGTACATCTAGAAGTTATGTAAACAATTAAGTGGGTAATGTGTACCTCTAGAAGCCATGTCAATATTTTAATGTCGGATATCTACATATAGAAGCCATGTCATCATTTCTTAGACTGTCTACATCTAGAAGCCATGTCAACATTTGTATGCCTGATGTCTACATCTAGAAGACATGTCAACATTTTTATACCTGATGTCTACATTTAGAAGCCATGTGAACATTTGTATGTAAGATGTCTACATCTAGTAGCCATATCAACATTTCTTTGACTGTCTACATCTAGAAGCCATGTCAACAATAGAATATATATATATATATATATATATATATATATATATATATATATATATATATATATATATATATATATATATATATATATATATATATATATATATATATATATATATATATATACTGCACATATGTCAACAAATTACCCATCCCATCGTAGTCTAATTTCACGAGTCTCTCTACCTTGACTGATTGGTTAGGGGCCAATGTGACGTTGTTTCCCTCATCTACGAATTCCACCACAACTGTTCCGGCCAGCACGGTGAGGGTTGTATTATCAAAGTCAGGCTGGACATAGTTCTCTAGCCACAGTCCTGTGGGGTGAAATCGGAACAAGTTAAAAATTTCTTATATCTTGGACAAGTAATAACATGTGACGGCAGAAGTGAAACAGAAGTCAAGAAAAGAATAGAGATGGCCAAAAACATTTTCAACAACATGCACAAGTTACTGACATCAAGAGAAATAAGCAATACATTAAAAATGAGAATTGTCAAATGTTATATATTCTCAACCTTACTGTATGGCACAGAGACATGAACAATGAACAAACAACTGGAAAATCGTATCAGTTCTTTGGAGATGTGGATATACAGAAGATTAGGTCGTATTTCAAGGAAACAAAAGCTATCAAATACAGAGGAACTGAGGAAATTGGGAATGAAAAGAGAGTTGCTAGGTGAAATAAAAAAGAGACAAGTGAAATATTTTGGCCACATTAAAAGACATAACAGTATTGTAAAGATCATCCTAAAGGGAAAGGTTTAAGGTAGGCGAGCAAAAGGCAGACAGCGTTACAAGTGGGAGGATAACATTGAGAGATGGACGAACAGCAGTATGAGTGAGTGTACATCAAGGGCAAGAGACAGGGCTTGTTGGAGATCCATTGCAGCCAACCTTCATCGTGGAGACGGCACCTGATTGATTGATTGTGGTAACAAAGTTTTAAATGTCTGTTTATTGGGACAATACTAGACGCCAGAGAGGACATATTTAATATCATGTCAATTCTCCGTGGAAAATACAGCTGCCGCTGCTGCTGGGAAACATAGTGGGGTGACGTCATGCACGAGCAGCACCAGATACCCGACATCCAGGAAGTGTTTCCTGGCAGGTGACTCGCTTGACCTGGGCGGTCCCTTCCTATGACCATAATCTAAATTAAAGTAAAACACAAGGTGAGATCCACAAAAGAATCCTTATATAGATTGTGAACAGTGGCGTTAATAAATACTGAACTGAGGAGACCATGATTGTCCTCAAATAACTAGACGACCACACACGCATTACGGAAACCCTCAGGGGAAGCAAGGAATATAACACTACTACTAAGGGCATGGATAAGCGTGGGGTTGACTACCTGCCTCACCCAGTGAAACACTAAAGCCACAAAAAATACTTACTAGCTATGACAACCTAATCAAAATTTAACCAGAATATCCTGGCACTGCATGCTTAAGGGTGAAAGATACAAAGCACACCAGAAAGCATACAGAGAAGATAGTCAGAGAATGAGGACAACAGAGAGTGATACGACAGAAGTTGGCACACATTCTTAGAAAGCTCTGTTTAGCGACCCCCCCCCCCCCCCCAAAAAAAAAAAAAGAACAAGAAGGATCAGAAGACAAAATAAAAAGACAAGACGGCAAGACAAAAGAAAAGGTAAAAGGTTAGCAGAAACCTCTTTGATACAATTATAGCATGATTATTGACACAACGTTGTGAGATGTGAGAGTCCTAAGTTTCAGGTGTGAAGACCACAAGATTGCTCACCCAAACGAGAATTATCACCAGGATAAAGAAGCGACAAAATCACTTAGCAAAGACCCACTTTCTAGGAGAGCAGTTATTACATGACAGTTCTCAAGCTGAGGGTGCCTCTATTTTCTAGTAATAAACATTCTCTCTGGAGGAAACAAAATTGCCTGATGGTTACCTTCTTCCTTGCTCTGCTGATTTTTAATCTTCCCATAATTGAATATACAAGTCTAACTCACACTCTGCAGTCATCTTTTCACCATTACTTGCTTCCATCTACGTTTATCTTGAAGAAGGAAGGTAATTGTGAACATTTTACGCTGTCAACAGCCTTTTTGTAGACTATTGCTATCTATCACTTACATTTACAGGCAGTTGCATCCTTGTAGACACGTTTCTTTCATATATGTTAACTATTAAAGTTCGATAAGCCCAAACGTTAACTTGTATTAACAAGCAAACAGGCTTACTGGTGATGGTACACAAGACCGCAGGTTAAACGCGTGAAACGCCAGGGACTACCCAAGTTTATATCTCCCGAAATGTGAGGAAATGAACGTGGAAAGCACTCACATGAGTAAAACTTTCAAACTATATTAGAACGTACTGAGTCAGTCAATAGTTTCAGACAAGTCCGTTGGTTCACATTAGATGGTCGCGACCATCCATCTGTTGAACTGATCATGTGTGTGATCTAAGTTGCTTTGGTCAAGCTACTGCGTCTAATTTGCAGATTATTGTGCAATGTTTTCATATTAAGGATTGTCAAATAGAGCAAAATCAGCAGCCTTTGGTAGCTGGCAATTATGTCAATAATTCCATTATTTAGATCCTATGAGTAGTTTATTGTCGCTTTGTCGCCACATGGCTGCTGGTTCACACGTTGGTGCTAACTACTCATAGGCAGTACTGACCTGGCTACATACCGTGGGCCTCGGAGACCACCAGCTTCATTAACTGGCTACTGGGCTGTTTACAGGCTATTTGAGTAGCGAACTGCAGGGCATTGCACTTGATTGTGCGGCAATCAGTCTAGCTTGAGCAATGTTTTTTTTTTGAATTTCAGTAACTTTAAAAGGCTGTTTGCTCGAATGGCATGACAAGTGTATATTCATGATGATATTTTATGCCATGTTGTCTAATTTGATGTAATAAAATGACGATTCTCCATGCCGTTCGAGTTTTCAGCTGTGTGTTGGGTTCCAGCTCCTGTCCCGCCAGTCTATCTCCTGTGAATCCAGTAGCTTCGTCATCGGCCAGGGAGCTCTCTTTTGTGAGTGGAGCAAGTCGCACACCCAGGACACTGGGTGTGATGCATTTTCTATTGATTGCATCCAACATCCATTGGGCATATTCGTTGGGAACTAAACAAAGTCAATTTTATTTCCAAAGAAAGCACCTGTTTCACAAAGACAGTAAATGTTCCTTTTAGAATCTTATCTCTGTGTGCACCATAAATCTTGAGTAAGTAAAATATTGTTAAACAGCAATCTTGAACAAAACACGACCTCTCTTAAGTCTCTTTGTTTTGTTTTCTTTTCAAATCTTTCTTGTATGATCTCGAGCAGCAATTTGACTAAATCACCCATTTTAAGCCCATAATTCATTCAACAGTCAGCACAGTGAAGAACAAGTGACTTGCTTGAGAAATATCATTAATAGTAGCTCGCTTCAGGATCCCAATGTGTGCCCTTTATATGAGACTGCTTATTGCTGTCTAAAACAAAATGCATCTGGCATGCAAGCATGTTTTTTTTTTTTTTTTGGGTCTTACCTGGAAAATCAGCTAAGAAAACAATATTAGTGTAGGTATCATTATCAAACGAAGCCTCGATTTCGTACAACTTTGTCCGCCAGTCTGACAAGTCAACTAACAGAGGCAAGAGCCACGTTGTACTTTCCAAAGGATGCCACTTTGCCTGAACAATGTCTATTCTTGGATCAATAAATCTGAAAAAGAATGTTAACACCCAAGTAAGTTTTGTTGTGAAATTATTATTGATATCGACTCCCCCCCCCCTTTCTAAAAAAAAGGCATAAAAGTAACAATTTCAGTAGTTTTAGTAATTTTTGTAAGAACTTTTTATTAAGGCATTTGCAAAATGACTACATTGGAATGGGCGTCCACAAATAAATCTGACTATCCTCTATTCCCCCCGCCCGAACTGCTGATGGTTTAATACTGCCACGACTCAAAGTCACCTCCTGGATGCCAATCCAACAGGACACAGTCCATTCCCCTCGTTTAACCTTCAAAGAATTTAGGTGCCCCCCCCCCCCCCCATTTACAATTTGGATGTCAATCCAAAATAAACAAAACCCAGATACCCTCTTCAGTCGTATACAATAGATATATTGGAACACCTAATGGCTACAGGAAGTTACCCTGAGACCTGGGCAGGTAATGGCGTCAAGTGCATTACTAACAATTTGTCTTGATGAACTGCTGTGAACAGTCAAATATACTGTCACTTTTGTAATCTCTAATGTTTGTATAATATAAATCATATGGACACTAATTCACACACAGAAAAGCTGAAGGCACCGTCTTTTCGTGACATACTAAGGGTCAAAGACTCTTTGTTGTCATGTCATGTTGGGGAAATTGTTGAGCCATTCCCCCTCCCCCTTGTTTACAGGGCATCCACTGTAATCAGTACATGGACAGACATCAAGCTTCAAGCTCCTAGGCTGTTCCCTTCAAACTTAGAACAAACAAACGCTTACTTGCAATTATACAGTTTTAAATAATGTCTCAACAATGAAAACGAAAACCCGCACAAACTGTTCCCAAGCAGCTTGTGACCATAATCTAAAACCATTTCAAAACGTTACAGTTATCGTGTTATCTGAACAGTTTACATTCTAAAAGTGTCAATTCTATGTTATTAACTGCTTACATGCATGTACGTATGATTTAAAAAAAGGGGGAGGGGCGGCGGGGGGGGGGGGGGGTTAGCGGGGTTGTGCATACTTATTGAAAATAGTGTAATTATTAAATTTAGCTCTCTGAATGACAGAGTAATTGTCCCAAATATAAAATGTGAACTTTATGAAACATACACATAATGATACACACACGCATTCACGCCGAAACGCATGGTAATTATGTGATAATTACCTTTGTCGAAAGCGGTTATTCAGAGATAGCCAGATGTCAAAATACACGGAAACATTGTGTAAGTTGTAATTCCTCAGGTTATCAGCAATGCAGTGTGCATATTGTTTAATCATGTCAGCATGCGTGAACCAGCGACCTCGATAACCTCCCCATGCCTACAGCCGAAAGACAGTTGTTAGCAACAATATGTCAACAAGATGGACAGAACTAATATATTATACAGATAGATTGCATGACACAGTAGCGGCTGTTGGGACATCTACTTAACTAAAACCGAACTACAGATAACGCGGTTTCAGCAACACTAGTGAAACAAACACCGGTATCTACAAAAAAGCATTGCCATAACAGTCAATCAAAACACATCATCTGGCTGATCACAATGCTTTGGTTGAACTGCTCTTGGTTTGGGACAGAGATCGGCAACAGTTTGTTGGCACCACATGTCTGCGTGTGTTGAATTATGCTTCACATGACTTCTCCATGACAACCAGCAGCATGACGATGGAGGCGATGGCAGTGACGCAAGCGTTTGCCTGGCTCGAAACACAAAACTACACCCATGTATACTCAGTGATTTAATTAGTATGATCCGGAAGGTTCAGGCAGGTTTTGTGCGAAGACAATGGCTTGAATCATTACAGAAGTCCACTGTGCGTGGAGTCACCTTTATTTTTGTTCCGGAATAGCAGGCGTCGATGAAAATGAAAGAGCTGACAGGTTGGCTGGATCCGCTATCACTACCGACGGGCAGCCTATGGATCATGCTGATATTATTAATGCCCTCATAGAAATGGATAGGATAGAGGACTTTGGTGGCAGTGAATCCGCATCACTCGCCAGAATGGCAGACTTGGGAATTAAGATCGGCATAGCACAAAATGAGACAGACACGCCAGAAGACTTGTTAATTAACATAGAACTGGTACTATTTGCCATCGGACTTTGGGGTTTATACTGAGGGGAGGATCTGAGCACCTATGGACATGTACGGAGTGCAATGATGATAACCCAACTAACTAACTAACTAACTAACTAACTAACTAACTAACTAACTAACTAACTAACTAACTAACTAACTAACTAACTAACTAACTAACTAACTAACTAACTAACTAACTAACTAACTAATGACACCCTATCCCAACCCCAGCATACGATGACGATTTGTGGTTTTACCAGGCAATCTTACGTTTAATAGTTTACCGTTGCTGATAGTACAACAGTTTACCGTTGCTGACAGTGCAACAGTTTACCGTTGCTGACAGTACAACAGTTTACCGTTGCTGACAGTACAACAGTTTACCGTTGCTGACAGTACAACAGTTTACTGTTGCTGACAGTACAACAGTTTACCGTTGCTGACAGTACAACAGTTTACCGTTGCTGACAGTACAACAGTTTACCGTTGCTGACAGTACGACTCGAGTCTCATACAACTGTCGAAATCAACGCAAAGCGGTTTACAGTCAAATTGAACCCTGAGTGTCCGAGTTCTCAAACTGTGTTCACAAGCTCTGATGTTTCAAAGTATACAGAAAATAAACGTCTATAAATTATTTTCTCATCTCATCCCAATTTTCCTCTTTATGCCTAGTGGCACATAAGGCTTCAGAAAGGACTTTCCATGCTTTTCTGTCCTGTGCAGTGCAGTTTTCCATATTAAAGATGCCGCGCTCAGTTCACTGTCAATCGTTCATCTCCGTGTTTGTGTGTGTGTGTGTGTGTGTGTGTGTGTGGTTTTTTCTCATTCCCTCTGGTGTCTGCGTGAGAGCTGTTTTGGCAGGTAAATCAGCATACATTCTCATGACGTGGCCAAGCCATTTCCCTCTTCTGAGTTTCTTGGTTTGTGACGTGAAGTAGCTTTGTGTTTGAGACTGTATCTGGCCAAAAAGGTTTTGATAATTCTACGCTGACAAGTGGACAGTTTGCGCATCTTTTTTGGTCATTCTCCGGTGCAAAATAGTGAACACCAAATATGATAACGCTTTTAAAATAGAAGCGTAAATAAGCGTATTAGCAGTATATGTGAAGTATTGTAGATAATTATGCGAACAGATAGAGTGTATATGAGCAGTATATGTGAATCAGATAACGATTTTGACAAAAAGAGTGTACATGAGAATATATGTAAATCAGATAACGATTTGGACACAGTGTACATGAAAAGTATGTGTAAATCATCAAATTGTTGTGCAGGAAACCAGTATGTTATTGGTGGAAATATTTTTCCCTATACAAGAATACACAAGTCAACATGGAATCACCAGACAATAAGACATCCAATCAAATTAATCACCTATGTATTAAGGGGTCACTAAACGGCATTTCCCCCCCAATTTATGATAAAAATATCACTTTTTAAATGTGTTCGTGTTTGTAAACCTCGCCATTTGTAGAATAGAATAAACGCAAAATTTAGTTCATTTGTAAACAATTTAGCTTGAAGAGGTAATACCAAAGACACCTTCCCATGCACTTTTTTAAGATTAAAAAAAAGTTTAAAAGTCAGTTTTCTCACATCTCAATATTTTTATTTGTTGTGTGTGTAAAATAATCAACTATTATACAGACCGAAAACATGAAATTTGGTGTGGATACTTCCTAAATAATATTATAGGGACCTGTTTATTTAGAAGTAGATTTTAGATAGTTATTTATTTTTTACTTATGATTATTGTCTTATGATGCTACATTTTTTTTTTTTACTTTTTCAACAAACCCACATTTTAAAATTTGAAGAAAAATATTTAAGAACATCTTAAAATTAAATAAACTAAACCTGTACTCCTATGTAAATTTAAGTTCATGAATCCATCATTTATTTTTAAATACTTTCATGTGTTTTCAAAATTTACGATTCTACGTACATGTTAGTTTTTCATGTTAGTTTTTTCGTAAGATGGAGGCTATTGCCATGGCAATTATGATTTTTTTTTAAAACTTAAAGTATGCCAATGTATTAACATATATCCCTACAAATGACCATTATAAAATAATGAGTCGACCACCGTAAGTAAAGAAAAGCAATGTTTGTGTAGTGACCCCTTAACAAAAAGTTTAGATCATCCCTTTATGATGTAAGGGCTTTCAGAGGTGCCGATGTATTTGCTTGCCATTTTCTGATGGAAAGTAAAATCAAGTTGAAACTTAAAAGATACATAACATCTTATAATCATAGAAACCAGTATAATGTAGGTTATCTCAGAAATAATGAAGTTAAGGAACAATTTTCAGTTACAGTCTCAAATAAGTACCATGTATTGCAGCAGTTAGCTTATGATGTAAGCACTGCAGTATGCTGGGATCAGATCAAGGGAATCTGGAATGAATCTTGTGTAGAAGTTCTTGGCAAGAAAGAACGGAAACATAAAGGGTGGATAACACCACTAACCATTAAATTGATCGAAGAAAGGAAAAGTAAAAAAAAAGCAGACTTTAACAATAGCAAAACTAGAGTAGAAAAAGCTAGAGCTCAGGATAAATACACAGAAGCCAGTAAGGAAGTTAGGAGGCTTATAAAGGCAGATAAAGTGAAACATTTATATGATCTAGCCCAAGAAGCGGAGAGCAGCAGCAAAAGGAAACATCACAGAACTTAACAAAAACACCAGCAAATTAATTGGTAAGAAGATGATAAGAAAGATAGTCAGCCAACTGGATCAATCAAAAATAGTCAAGGAAAGGTACTTACTAACACTAAAGATCGAATGGACAGATGGTTTGAATATTTTGAAATACTTCTAAGCAGACCAGGCCTAGAGGTTCCTCCAGATATCCAGCCTCTAGAAATCGAACTGGATATCAAATGTGAGATACCATCTAAAGAGGAAATTAGAAAAGCTATCAATCTTCTCATGGAAGAAAAGGCGGCAGGTCCAGATGGTATCGCAGCAGAAGCCATTAGGGCCAACAAAAACGAGTCAGCGGAATTGCTACATAGATTATTTAGTAAAGTCTGGGAGACCGGAGAAATACCAACAGACTGGAGAGAAGGATATCTTGTGAAACTGCCCCAAAAGGTGATTTACAGGAGTGTGTGTGAAATCTATAGAGGAATTATGTTGCTGTCAGTTCCTGGAAAAATTTCAAATTGCATTTGGGATGCAGCGTGTGCCTTATGTAGCAGCTCCTTTGCAGAACAACATAGTTCTCATCACAAAACACCCCTCTGCTTTTGAACTTGTCCTCATCTTGCACACCTCTATGTAAATGAACTTTTTCAAAACTTGGAATTTCCTACATAAGATGTAAATCCTTTTTTAATAATTTGGTGTCAAAAGGATGATATAAGGATGATATTAGATCTTATGTTTATTGGGAATTAGTTATTATATATACATATATATTAACTCTTAGGCAAGTGATTTTCTAAGTCTATGGATACCAAGTGCAGTGGCCGAACCACCACCACTTTGGTGAAAAATATGTTCCCGCTTCTGGTGTTTTGAGAATTTCAGCTGACCGCATCATTCTTGACACGGTTTCCAGAGCTAGCGGGCGGTTTGACGCCTTTCTTGTCTATCTTCTATATCTCCTCGTGGAAAGTAACCTATTCACACGGGAACTTCCATAGAGCATGGGGGAGAATGTGTAATCTACTTAAATAAAGTTACTTTGCCCTGCTGCTGACAAGAAGGAGTGTGCAGTCATGAGACAGCAACCGAAATAGGCAATCGACAGCTAAAACGACGGGGATGCGCCAAATTAATTGCTTCACCTACATGCCCTTGGATTCCTGAGGGGATGACCAGCTTGACCCTAATGTCTCCGGGGTTTATTATGGTTTAATCATCTTAAATTTATGTATACACCATTTAAATGGAGAAGGAACAGGCACGTCAGGATGGACTTAGCGTTTAGTTATCAGGAAGTTTCGAGCGGTATTTAGTTGGCGTGTATGACATCACATCCATCCCGGACCTTATTGAACAAAGCAATGGCTTTGGAAGATATGAGAATGTTGTGTCGTGTTTCTGATGCTGTTACGCTTTCCACACATATATATTCTTGTATTCGTGGTATACTTGTGTGAGTATAAGTACCTTATTATGGAAAGTAAATGGTGTTATCCCTCGTTAGTTTGACAAATGCAAACTATCGCTGTCACTAGGAAGTAGCCTTAGACAGAACATAGTTTATTTCTAACCTTACTGCTAGTGACTCTGGGAGTGTGGACCTGATAGGTCAATAAAAGCCTGTCACAGACATATTAGCTTATAACTTGAATAAGTGTGGATGGTTGGTAAACAAGGTACCGTGTTTGGTGTTTTGCTAACTCTGGTTTCTATCTTTGTCACCGGATGATATTGACCTCCCTGGAGACCAAGTCAACAATCATTGTCCACAAATGCATCAAGTGAGACCAATATACAGCAGGTATTGAGAAGAATCCTCGATGAGCACCTCACTCATGCCTATGCTACACTAATTGAGTCTACAAGTGACTAATCACCAGTAAGTGGTTACTTGATGTTCACCATCAGCTAGTGTCCTCAACCCAGGAACTGTTTAAATGCTACCAACAACTGCAAATACCTAGACCATTGCAAGCCAACATTTCAACACATAAACTTCTTCAGCGTGTATTTTTGGTTCATTAGGGAAAACCCTAATAAATACACATGACATCAGACACCATATGACATACTTTCTACTTGAAAAAAAAGGTATCTCGCCAGTTCTCCTGCCTCATGCAGTGCCTACAAAGAGCATCTCTTATATTCTGTGCCCATCTTCATGTTGGTCAGTCCTGCTCCTCCTATGTGGAACAATGCCTTCTTTCCAATCCGCATTGGCGCTTGATATGGTCAAAATATTTCAGTGTCGGAGTTTACTAGCCAGTCTTCCTCCTCGCTGTTCATATCTTGATGTCAATGTTTCTTGTCTTCTTGGTCTATGGTATTCTAGGTACACAGCCAGGGGATGTGTTCAGCATCTTGCAAGCTTTCTAACATATTCTGCAAGCGCTGGGCTGACCCCAGAGACATGTATTTGTTAAAAAGTGCTTCGACAAAGGAGTGTGAACCCACACCAACAGGCACGAGCTGTGCTGATGCTTCTGGAATTATTAAAATAACTAGGAGTGATTCATTCAGTGCCTTGTCAAACATGACTGCACGTGCGATAACATTTCAGATGCTTTGAGAAAAAGTAGCAGGGTGGAGGGTATTCAGCATCAAATAAACATTAGGGCATCCTCTTACCTCCATTAACATACGGAACCACCTTGGTCAAGGGGGAATATCTACCAGGTTTTAATATACTATGGATACATGTGGTGGATGCGCTTAAACACATCAACATTTAACTGTGGGCGTGGTCTCAAGTTCCCCAAACAGTGGAAACAGGATCGCAACATGGATTATAACGCTAAAATCACAAGATATAAAGGAACGCAATGACAAACTATCTAAAGATGTCAAAATCCTAAGTGGGCACATATAACTTCAGTTCATGATCGCGTAAGTTGGTCTATATTTATTCACATGACGATGACAGTCAGCAACGGCAACATCAGCAGGAAAAAAAAAATAATTCAAATAATGAGCTACAATTGCCAGTATAATAACTGTGAACACGTCATGACAAAGCTGTATCTCTCAGCCACACAGCCCTCACCAGTGGGTCCAAATATCCAGTCTGTCCGGTTGTCTGATCATGGTAGGTGATCTGAATATGGCGACCTGACCAGCTTTGGATCATCATATCCCAAGAATATCCATAAAGTCCTTCAGTCCATGTGTTGTAACCCTGAAACGTCAATGTGAAATTATCTCTACTGTCGCATCATCATCATCATCAGTTTTTGAGGAAACGAGCCAACAATAGTCACGTTCAACCAGCATCCCCAAAGAAGGAGCTTCAGGTTATAACTGTGACTAGGTTATGTGCGCCATTTACATAGCTTAGTATTGCACACAACCAAGAGCCATGAACAGGATGACTTCAGTATTGATGCAATCAAACAGTACAGACTCAAATACTATTCCCGACCGACGACGAAGTTGTCTACAAGTGAGCCAATGGGCGACCTGTCACTGATGCTCTACTATCGCTTTCAATACTTGCCTTAAATACATTTTAGTGACTGGACTTCACACACAGAACCAATAAGTATGTATGTATGCATACATACATACACACACACATACATACATACATACATACATACATACATACATACATACATACATACATACATACATACATACATACATACATACATACATACATACATACATACATACATACATACATACATACATACATACATACATACATACATACATACATACATACATATACACACTCATACACACTCATACACACAGTCACCCACTCAGACACACGTTCTAAAACATACACGCATACAACCCAGACACATACAGACACACACAGCTATACACACACACATAAGCAGCCGCCAAAAAAGACCAATACAAACACACACACAGACGCACACAGACATAAACCCACACAGACACACACATGCAGTCACAGGCACACACACAAACACATACACACACGCAAGCAGGGAAACACAGACACGCACATAGACATACGCAACACTCACACATACACAGATACACACTCAGACACGCACACAGTCACACACGCACATATACGCATACATTCATACACCCAGACGCATAAACCGACACAGAGACACGCATACATTATATAATAAACACACCGATAGAGACACACACAAAGCCAAACACACAGACACTCACAGCCACAGAGAGACACAGATACACACACAGACACATCATGGCACACACACACACACATACAAATACATACAAATACACTCACAGATGCACAAACACTTACGCAGACATACACGCGCAGACGCACACACAATATCGAAAAGACACACACACAGATACCCGCGAAGCCCCACACGCAGACATTATATAATAGATACACCCATGGAGACTCACACAGATACATACAAAGCCGCACCCACAAACACGCACATCGACAGACAGACACAGATACACATGCAGCCACACGCACAGACACACCTACAGACACATAATGGCACACACACACACCGACACACATAGACACACACAGAGACATACACACACACACACATACTAATACACCCACAGACGCACAAATACTCGCACAGACACACACGCGCAGACTCACACACACACAGACACACGCACACATCAAAACGACAAACACACAAATACACACGAAGCAACACACAGAGAAACACAAAGCCACAGACACAAGCAGGCATAGACACACAATTACACACGCAGAAACACCTCCAGACACAACACAGATAAACACAAACAGACAAACACACACACACACAGAAAAACACGCAGCCACACCAACACATATACACATACAAACACACACATAGACACAAACCCACAGAAACACACTCAGCCACGCATAAGATACACATACAGATACACATACAAAAACACACACACAGACACAGAGAATCACTCAGCTATTGTGAGCACCAACATTGTGAGAGAAAACAATGTGACTGGACTGCACATAAAGACAATTACTCAGCTATTGTGTGCACCAACTTTGTGAGAGAAAACAATGTGACTGGGCGACACATACAGACAATCACTGAGCTATTGTTAGCAACAACATTTAGACAGAAAATATGTGTGCATCAACATTGTGAGAGAAAACGATGTGACTGGACTTCACATACAAACAATCTGTGTGCATCAAGATTGTGAGAGAAAACAATGTGACTGGACTTCACATACAGACAATCTTAGAGCTTCATCATTGTGAGAGAAAACAATGTGACATGACTGCATATACAGACAATCTTTGAGCTGTTGTGAGCATCAACATTGTGAGAGGAAACAATGTGACTGGACTTCACATACAGACAATCTGTGTTCATCATCATTGTGAGAGAAAACGATGGGTTAGGACCGCATATACAGACAATCTGTGAGCATCAACATTGTGAGAGAAAACAATGAGCATCAACAGAGTGAGAGAAAACAATGTGACCGGACTCCACATACAAACAATCTGTGAGCATCATCATTGTAAGAGAAAACAATGTGACTAAACCTTACATACAGACAATCACTGAGTTACTGTGAGCATCAACATTGTGAGAGAAAACAATGCGACTAGACCTTACATACAGAGAATCACTGAGTTACTGTGAGCATCAACATTGTGAGAGAAAACAATGTGACTAGACCTTACATACAGAGAATCACTGAGTTACTGTGAGCATCAACATTGTGAGAGAAAACAATGTGACTAGACTTACATACAGAGAATCACTGAGTTACTGTGAGCATCAACATTGTGAGAGAAAACAATGTGACTAGACCTTACATACAGAGAATCACTGAGTTACTGTGAGCATCAACATTGTGAGAGAAAACAATGTGACTAGACCTTACATACAGAGAATCACTGAGTTACTGTTAGCATCAACATTGTGAGAGAAAACAATGTGACTGGACTCCACAAGCAGAGAATCACTGAGCTATTGTGAGCATCAACATTGTGAGAGAAAACAATATGACTGGACTTCACATACAGAGAATCACTGAGTTAAGTCGCCTCATAGCACTGATGATACTGGTCGAGAACCGTCCTGGTGTAGCAGCTAGATGTTTACCTGTGGATCCAAAGGTTGTGGGTTCAAATCCACATAGTGCCTAATTGTTTTTCAAACATGACCTTGGCTCCCAGGTCGACCCAGCCTTTAATGGATACAAGGCAAAGTCCGGCGGCCCATGGATGTCTATAAAAGTCTAGTATGATATGCCCAAAACACCACTGGTGTGTGAAGGGACCTTTACTTACTATAATTTTATATTTGAGTTAAACTTCGATTTTGTTTCCAGAACCGTGTAGTATAGAGGAGGCTTGAGTGCGAAGCTTTAGGAAACACGGCTAGTCCACTGAAAACACAATTACTTATAATTGTGCACCCCGCCCCTCCTGGTATGATACATGTCAACTATCTCAACAAGGATTCGAAAGTTTGTGTCTCTTCCCCCAACTTACCTGCTGGCACGATATAAGCAAGCTTTCTTCCAGACTCAATGAAAGAGCTACAGCAGTTTACATGTGTATACTATGCAGGGTACTGATATACAAGTCTCAAATAGATCCTATAAAAAAAAACACGCAACAAACAAAAAACATAGGACTGTAAAAAAAGTTTAGATTCGAACCCACCTTGGTTATTCCATGTGAATATGGTAGAAATATCTGCAAGGCTATGAATATTACTGTGAACATAGAGGCTAACTTATGTTTCCACGTTGAAGATGTTGGTAGAGAAGAGTCGATGTGCTCTTTCTGTGTACTGGAGCTCTGCAGATAGAATCAAATATAATCTGCTTGACACATCTGCATCGTGACCTTAAATCTGGTTTAATTATCACTAGAGAATAAGAATTAAACTAACACACACAGCAGGTTGGTGGCCGGTGGGGGAGGGGGGGGGGGGGGGAGTTGAGTGGGAAACAAGTCACATTTTGAGAAAAAAAAATACATATAAAAAAAAATACAAACGAATAAGCTATAACGCCTAATCATGCAATTTGATTTTTAAACACGCCGTTTGTCCTACCAATCACATAACTGCTGCTGTTGCAGATGTTGTTGTTATTGTTGTTGCTGCTGCTCTTCTTTCTTTTTTTCTTTTATTTCTTTCTTTTCTTTTCTTCTTTCTTTCTTTTTCTATCTCGAGTTACCTAAGGAAAATATTACGAAGAGAGGTAACCATCTTATCTGCTCTCTTTGTAATACTTTCTATAAATTGTCTCACCATGTTCTCTGAAGCAGTTGTTGATTCCCTGGGTCCATCAGTGGCAGGTACTGTTTCTTCAGTTGAGGCTCAGTGTCAACGGTCAACATATTTATTGACTATAATGTCATTTGCACTGATAATATCGCATCAAGTCTGGGAAACAGACAAATCAGTCGATGACAACTAAATCACAGGGAAGAAAATCCTATGGAGGGTGCACAATGATCTAATCTGAAGCAGGTGCCTGTTCATTGGTGTCATAGTGGCATAGTTATCCTATGTTCCAGTCTTCTTCAATGGCTGCAGTGCTAAACTGGTAGGTCTACTCATTCCACGTTGATTACCAGGAAATATGATGGAAGTAAAGGCGTCACACTGACTATATCGTCTCAGGATGTCGGAGACTGGAGGTTTAGGCTCCTTAATTTAAAGACAATAAATATTCTAGGGACCTCTGCCTAAAATTGTGAAAGGTGATCGAGCACGATACTTCTAATAGTCTGCAACAATAGGGTTAGTACAATATATACATATATACAAGAGGCTTCTGATGGGGGGGGGGGGGGTATTTGCCCATGTTTTTTAACGATACTTATGAATAAACATAAATAATTGAACACAGTAAATAGCCAGTCTGAAAGAACTGAAGAAAACACAAATGACGGTCATCACCAAGTAGTTGAAAACACTAAATACCTCGGATACCTCCGACTTGACATAGTCTTGAGGGTAAATACAATGGGTACTTGGCTGGCACTGTGTAGCACAGACAGCAGTACGTCCACGGAAAGAAGTCAACACACGGAACAATTTCCTTGGCCAGTCCATATCACAGAAGATCAGCTGAGTGCACAGCATTGTGTAGGGAAACATTCCTGTTGGGGAAAAAGGGTGAAAACGGGTGGGGAAAGGGAGGTAGAGGGAGGGAAAGAAAACATACAGTAGGTTTGACATACGTTAGCATTTAGTGTTTGTGAATGCCCCAACACTTCGTCTGCCCTAATGGGTGTGCACCACGATCCCCGGCAAGATATGCAACATCTGCACACTCTTAATCTCCCTCTGACTATGTGTCCATCACAGTCATACTTTTATCCTGCACCAATTAGGAACCATCACCTCTCATTTAGACTTTTATTTTCTTGTGCGCAGCCTAGGGATCATAACTCTTCATGTCTTCCCTTCCAAGCACGCGCGCCCGCGCGCGCACACACACACACACACACACACATACACACAAACACAACACTTTTCTTTACCCCTCCCGCCCACTCGATCTTTCACCATAGACGAGATGTCTGATATGTCGGTTGGCGGCACACATCCAATGATTCCAAGCCATATTCAATTGTCCGCAAGTCGGTGATCTTATATTGCGATCATAAAAAAGGGATTTCTGTTTTAGACAAAGATAATGACCCCCGTTTGTAGGACCTCATCAACAGCAAAAATTAGAATTGTCAAATTTTATTTATGTACTTAACACTAGTAGATTTAGCAGAAACGTGGAAACGGAAGGCGTAACTAGAAAGTCGAATTCAAGCAATATGTGGATACACAGAAGAAATGTGTTTCGTGAAAACAAAAGTACATACTGAGGTTCTTTATGACAGGAAATTTTAAAAAAACTTATGTGAAATATTTTGACCATATTAAAAGACGCAAATAAATAACGTATAGAGAATAAACAAATAGACAGCCCAGCAAGGAGCAGACAGGGAAAGATAACATTATTTAGTGGAAAGATAATTGTCGCATGACAGCTCGCACCCCTCTCGTCCTAGACTTGCCTAGATCTTGTCACTTCTATGTAAATAGGGCACTTTCAAACAGTCATTTGTTGTGATTATGTGTCTAGATGTCAGGTAATTACTCAACTATCCTAATTATCTTAGGAAGATTATATAATTACATTTTAGACCATAGGTGGGAGATTTTTTGATAGTGGAGCCAAAATTCCAATGGCCTAACTACCGCTTTGGACTCGGATGAATCCTCTCCCGCCTCTAGCTGGACAGACGCTTAGTTTGAACTCATTCTTGACATAGCCCTGCTGCTGAGTGTAGGACAGCGATGGCTCTCATGTTAAATGTATTTGGGCAGTCTTCTGGGACGGTATCTGTGTAAACGTGTTTCAATCGATGTCAGCCGGGGTCAGGCTTATTTTTATTATTTATTATATTTAGTACAAGTGAGTCGTCACATTCACCCTGCTGGGGCTTGGAACGTAAAAAAAAAATATCGACAAGAACGATAGCTGTATCGGGTTTATGTGGCGTGCGTGTTGCATACATCTATTTTCTTGTATTTGTGGTATACTTGTGTGAGCATGGGTATCATAGTGTGGAAATGGACGGTGTTATCCTTTTATAGGTTGGCGTACGCAAACTATCACTGTCAACAGAAAGCAGCATTAGAGGGAACCTTGTTTCCTGCTAACCTCTCAGTTGACAATGGCGATCATAGGGTTTCTTACAGACTAATCCAGTCTTTCAAAACCTATCACAGACCTCTGGGCTATCTTTTGTGGATAGATGGAGGGGTGGGGAATTTTTATGGTGTTGGATGATTGCTAATTCTGGTTTTCCTCTTTTTTTTTAAAAAACAGGATTTTAGTCCTAACGGGAGGCCAAGTCCACAATCAGTTTCCTAACATTATCCAGTAAAACCTACATCTAGCAGACAGGAGGTTTTGTTCGATTTGCTCACTCCTGTCCATGCACCATGTCAGCGACTTCACATGGACAACTGTCTGTGGTTCTGTGAGAGCCAACACCAGCTGGTATTGTCAAGAAGTTTAGGTTGTGTACGCATAGTACCTGCCACGACAAGAAAGTGGCATAAATTGTAGACCATAACTATTGATTACCATGGACCTAGCTTCCGTAATATAGCCATTACAGTTACATTATTATTGTGTATTTGTTTAGAAAGTTTATTTCAATTCATTGTTGGCAGTATGCTGAACCAAGCTTCAAGGAAGATTTTTTAAGTCCTCATACCTGGTCTACTATATGTGTGGGGAGGCCTCCATTCACATAAACAGGACATCTTGGACAGACAAGTCGTGTAGGCCAGCACCTGCGGGTAATCCTAAAGCTAAGTGCCAGTTCCCTAGGTCCAGAATTCCATATTTTGGCAGTGGTGATCTGCTACTAGGGACAACCCAAAAGCCTATCTCGAGTAGACTGTTTTTTGTTTCATTAGAGGTGACTGATCTTGCTGAATTCTTTCATTTTTATTCCTGCTTGTGTTGCACTTATTACAGGATGTTTTGTGATTTTTACATTCTGTTTTTAGTGTCCAACCTTCACAGTTCCTATTTGTATGGAGTATTTGTTGTAGTGTTATACTTCATGTTAAACTGTGTTATTTTGACTAGCATAGGATTACTATATAGTATGAGGGCTGAAAAGTAGTGAGGAAGTTAGGCCAAGTTGCCCCTAGGAATGGTTATGTATTCTGAGTCACCTTACCCCTAAAGTAGGTTGGATGTTCATTGGAGCTGCAGCATTCCGTCTAGACCATTGCGAGCCAACATCTCAACATTAAAACTACTTCAAAGTGCCTTTTTGGTTCATAAGGGGAAACAAAAACTCGTTACACTAGCATTATGTGACAATATTAGTAAGCCTGACAATGTGTATAACCAGATCAAGAGACAGAAAAGTTTCAAATAATCAAAGCACTGTTTCCCCGATGTGAATTTGAACAAAAAAGACACAAACAATAGACTGCACAATTTATTGCCTGGCATATTTTGCTGTATCTCATCAGGATGAAATACAGCGAAATATGCCAGGCAATAAATTGTGCAGTCTATTGTTTGTGTCTTCTTTGTTCAAAGACAGAAACGTGTTGGATATCTATTGTCGTCAACTTTCACTGCAGTTACATACACTTCAGTCCAGTTAAGTTTCTTTTTTTGGAGGTGGGGGGGGGGGGGGGGGCACTTTCGCGAAATTAAACCAGCTCGTATCCGAGCGCCGGTTATACTAGTCGTCCTTGTTTGTAGTTTATTTTCAGGCTAATCTTTTTTTTTTAAATGGGGGGGGGGGGGGGGGGGAGGGGGAGGACGTGTTAATACGCCTGCATGTAAAATTTTAAATTTTTTCATGTGATGTCTGCCGTGGTTTAGGCTGCTGTGAGAGAGCGGGCTTTTGGTCCTGAAAAAGACTATAGTTTAAAAGTTTATAAACACTTAAAACTGGACAGATAAATATGGAGTGATGGCAGCCTTACAGAAATGAATATCTTTCTTAATAGTGATATTGTCAGAGCTCATCAACAAACGTTACATCTCCCCCTCCGACACTTCGATGAGGTACAAGGTGGAAGAGAAGAAGAAGATATACTTTAGTTTTTTAGGGCTTGTCTTATGTCGCCCATCTCCTCCTCTAGTGTTGTCCAAGTGGCACCATTCCTTGTGGGTTTCGGTGTTTTGTTTGCTACGGGATTCTTTACTTCTTGGAAGTCTTTCCGTTTAGTTTCCTCTACTTTTTTTTTCGCTTCCCCCACCCCTTCTCCTTTTCTGTCAGAAATTTTGAGTTTGCTTATGCCGTTTTGACTGATCCAATCAGCAGTTTATCCCTTAGTAGCCTGATAGTTTTTAGCATTGATTCTGTTTCTGCCACTGTTTGGCTGATGTTTTCTGCATCGATCGACATATTTTATTCAGTTCGTCGGCTTTGAGCTTGGTCACTTCATTTTCTTTGTGTGCTATGTCTTGCCGGACTTCTTGTTCACTTCTTTCTTTCTGAAGTATTTTAATTTCATCTCTCAGCTGACAGATCTGTTTTTGCATTTGTGTTTTCTCCTCTCCTGTTGCAATCTTGGCTGCCTCGTTCAACTTTGCTGTGTGTTCTAGCAGTGCCTTCATCGCTTTACGCAGCAGGGCCATCTGGTACAGTAATTTATGTTTTTGTGTGTGTGCTTGCGTAATCTTTGCTAGCCTCATCTGTATTTGCTGCTTGCATTTTTTAACGCCCTGCTTACGTTGTGATTTATTTCTTTAGCTGAGTACTTGCTTTTGACGTGGAATCCCGGCGTGTCTCTTATCCTTGTTTTGCCTCCTGGCATGTGATTTGTTGGTTAATTTTTTGGTAATCGCTTTTCTGCATAGTTGGAGGTAGGGGCATCCCAGGTACCTGGCATCATATGCGCTACCAAATTGTTACTTTGCTAAGGCAGGTTGAGACTTATGCAACGCTTTCTGGCAGCGGAAGCACTGGCAGATTGGAGGATGTAGCTCTACGGTTTCTGTGGTATCTTGCCGAGGAGTACTTTGCCTGGCAGTGAATCTTCTAGTGTAGGGATTACAGCTGCCGATGTGCTAGTTTCTTTTGATTTTAGGCGTTCTGCTGTGACGGTTTGCAGGTTCGGGTTATTTTCCTTCTGAACCTAATCCGTCTATGTCTGCCAGCCTTGTTCCTACACGTTTGACCATGTTTGACCTTGCACTTTTAAAAACACAGGCGGTGCTTGGTAATCCGAGATGGAGATGCAGCTCCGATGCAGTCCCTTTCTAGATGTCTCGCACTAGTTCCTTAGTTGTTGGCGTTCCACACAGCGTTACCACAACCCCGTCCATTGCTTTGCGTATTTTATGATCATCTGTTTCCTCAGCCTAATATAAGATAGGTATATGATCGTCGTTACTGACAGAGTAGCTAACTTGGCATGGCCTTAGTTTATTTGCATGACCTTGACCTTCACTGAGAACGTATAGCAGACGCTCACGGTTTCGTCTGAGGTGGCGGTGTTGGCTGGTTCCTTTGCTGTCTCTTCTGTGTGACCCGGCGTGTGTTTCACTTCAGGGACGGCGGTCTTCTGTCTTCTTCAACGCTGTGTAGGCAGCCTTTCTTTTGGCGGTTTTCTTGGATCGGGCCATTTCGCAATCTATCGATAATGTTTATTATCTTAGACGATTGCTGGTTTAGCTAGCTACGCGAGCGTCTTGGCAGGTTGCCAGCGAATGACTAGATTATATGCACGTGACTGGTGATAATTTTATCTGAAATATACGGAACTAAAATATAAACACAGATATTGTTTGCGTTGTGTGCTACGACAATCTATACTCCAATAAAACTCTAAACAAAAAGACTTTTCCACAGCCACGAAATGATTATTCATACAAAAATGCACACATCAGAAAGTACCTACCTATCCTGAAGATCAGGGCATTCATAGTGTTAAAAGTAGTTGAGACAATGAGACCAAATATTCTTGTCTTGTCAAAAAATAGAAGGAATCCAAGTGAGAGATCAATGAGAAGGCCACCACAGTGAACTATGTACACGTTTATCTCATCTTCTGAAAGGAATGTTCTGGTGAATAAAAATCACTGCGTGTGAGACAATTTAAAAAAATATTTTTCAATTAATTCTTTATTATTATTTCTTCTTCTTTTTTCTTTGCTTTCACCTCCCGTGAATTCCTGCAGAAAGTCTCGGCTGTTCGTCCATTTAGAATTTGGCTTTGAGTCTTAACAGTTCAGTTGTTCTTCCATCCGACATACATTTTGACCGAGAGCTGTAGAGATTTAGTGGTATATCCGGCTAACGGGCTTTACTCATGTTCCAAGTGAGTTCTGACATCCTTATTCACTCATGTGTTGGTTGTGGGCTGAAGAGAACCAGACTTGACACTAAATCTCTGGGGTCCGCTAGCTCCGAGAACCCCTGTCAGCCAGCTCACTGAATGCTCATTTGCCTCATTATCCGTGGCGCACGACGGGGACGTGTGGCAGGTGTCTTGTGTGTCAGTAACACCAGCACAGAAAAGGCCTGCGCTCGAGGTGAGGTACAGAGTAACTCCCTATTCACCTCACAACGGCCTAAAATTTGTCTCTCGCCTGTGATAAAATCAATCCGTCTTAGTTTAAAAAAATTAATTGATAATAAGTTTAATCTGAAAGAAAAAAAAATATTGTATTTGTCACATGCGGGCTAAGCCAAGAGAAAAACATTAATTTTTTTTTAATGAGCTCTGAGCTCAGTCTGACTTATTGAACTGCTTTAGGGGAGGGGGAGGGGGAGAAGAGGGGAGGGAGAAGAGGGGGGGGGGAGTTGGAAGGTAACAATGGCGTAGGGAAAAAAGGAGTGGGGGTGGGGGATGGGCGAGGGGTGCGGTAAAACCGAGCTTTTAAATCTTGTATGTCGTCTACTGCCTACTAAAATAAGAGATTATGTAATTGCTGCCAAGGTACACATTTTCAGTCACTGAATTGAAGATTTTAATGATAATGATGAAGATAACGGCCTAATTAAGTCGTTTCTGACTATGTATATAGAAATGTATGGAGTATATAGAGCACCCACCAACCAGCAGCATAGCCCGATGTTCCATCCGATGTTTTTATCTCTAAATTTATTAAAGCAGTCTTCTGTCACTGAGTATGCAATAATTCTGTTTGATTCTGTGTCCTTATTGTTCTTAAAAACTGCGGTTTCCATCTTCAATATTTTGTGTGCACAAATCGTTTTCTTTATGTTTGTCATCCGTCTATAGTGTAGGCCTGTTATAATAACGCATGTGACATGTGTTATATATGCATAACCAAGCCATCTGTGCATCATTCGACGGTACAGACAAAACTTAGAAATGAGAAAATGCAAGGGTCCTGTGAATGGAAATAGGAGAGCAGATGCACTGACTGGCAGTGCGACTTTCAAGAATGTACCCTCTATCGGCAGGAGATACACCATCATTGCCATAAAAAATAGAAACGCTGTGAGGTTTCTAATTTCGTGGAAAATGATTCTTCACTAAATTTACGGCATACACTGGAGCTACAAGACACGAAAACTATCCGTCGTTACATCAGCTAGAACAGAATGAGAGTTTTTTGTCCTAAACAAAACACACACACACATGAACACACACTTAGAGACATACTCAGGATGAGCTGGGAGCACTTATAGTCATGTCCAATGCGCGATGAAGTTGATCGTTAGATAAACAATGAATGAAATGAATTAACCTGATATCAGTAATGTCAAACATCCTTTTTTTTTTTGTCAGGAGAGATCAAGAAGTAGGGACAAAATTCCGAGAGAGAAACAAGCAGGTATAACTCTTAGCTTGTTGCTGAAGATGGGGACTGAGCACTTATGGGAGTGTCTGTGATGTTGATTCCCAATTCAACATTCGGCCTAGATACGTTTAAGCACCAGAGGCTGATAAGAAAAAAGTCTTGGATGACGCAAGCTAAGACACCATGAGAGATGTATGAATAATTGAAAGCTTTGGGCGAGGAAAGGAATGGTCCAAAGTGACAGAGCAAACACTGCAACTCTCTGCTGGTTTAAGAAGCAGACACGCACACACACATGTGGTGATTGTAGCAAACTTAGAAAGCACGTTGAGAAAGGTGGGGACGGTCGTTCTCCTTGCTGAGTGGAAGGAGCTTCCGGTCAGTTAGTGTCCGTTGAATCTTTTCTCCGGGTCTTGCAGGTGTACTAAAAAACGAATAGTAGGACATAAGCTGGTTCTGAACCACTGGATGGTTAATTTCAATGTAGTTACAAGTAACATTTGCGTGCTTATCTTTTCCTGAAGTGTGCCACAGTTCACGGCTAACTTTGTGTGTATTTGTTGGCAGATAGTTACACATACCAGCCTATTGTGTCGGAATATTACAACCCTTTAAACCATAAATTATGTAAAAACTTCGAGAGATTTAAAATAATCAGAAACTCACTTGAAAGGCCCAAATACCGTGTGTTTGGCTAACTGGTCTACTGAGTATCCAGAAATCCAATCTTTATCGATTTTTTTAAGTCCAGCTACAAAGTACACAACAAATATCTGAAACATAAGATAAGTGACATAAGCGCATCTTGGCTTCAGCCCATATCACCATCAGAGTACAGCTGTTAACTACTGAGATTAAATGAAAAGCAATGAATTCAAGACTGTATACATGTGTGTATATGTATGTATGTTGTATGTATGTATGTATATATATATATATATATATATATATATATATATATATATATATATATATATATATATATATACTAGCTGTACCCGGCCACGCGTTGCTGTGGCGTAATTTGACTACATGGAAAATAGAGAACATAGAAATGTGTCTTCCCTTCACGCTAGCGATGTACAGAGCAACAGCTAAACCACAGCTAATAAAACTGGTTACAAAAAGTGGTTATTTGGTTATCACATGCTAAAGCTGTTTGTATTTTTATAGGAGACGGAAGTAAAGCTACAACTGTACTTGTAAATAACAAAGTAAGTCGTAAAAAATAGAAAAGCGGAGGTAGCGTTAGTAAAATATAACAAATTAGGTAATGAGAACTTGAAAATCACGTGTAAAGCTCTTTAAGTTCTCTTAAATTTAAGTCATTACCCCCTCCCCTCCCCTCTTCCACCGACTACTGCTCTCTCCCTCTTCGAAGGATTTGAAAATCACTAACTGGCGATATTTTGTTGTTGCTGTAACTGACATTGACATCCCTGTCCATCTGGACTAAAATAAGGAGCAGGAATTGTAAAAGGTAGTGAATAGGGCTAATGAAATATTTACCACATCATCCTTCAAGTACCAGTACAACTACTAAAATAATGTCACTGCTATCTGTGTTACCATCGGAGTAGACAGAGAGTCGTGAGCCAGAAGATTTGGTTCCGCATGGCTAGTGCTGTCGCCACAGACTGGTCAGGTTAGGATGTATAATTTCACTTGCCGACAGAAGAACGCCATAACCTTACCGGCGGTCTTCACATGAGAGCACTATGGTGTAACAGCCCAACCACAACTATTACTGCTGCTGCTACTTTAAGTGGGTAAAGCAGTTACTGTGACTTAAAGCTCTCTCAGTTAATAGTTTGCCCCCCCTCCCCCCAAATTCACCGACAACTCTTTCCCACGTTGAAGTAGTTGGGAAGGAAAAAAAACAACACTTGAAAAGCAAATGAACACAGGAAAAAAACACCATAATTAGGAAATGAACGCCATTGTAAACAGCACAGCTTAAAAATCCAACACAGATGAAATAACTAAATCTAAATGAAAATAAATGAAAATCTATAAAATTTCAGCGTAACCATGCAATCGGAAAGTTTAACAATGCAATCATAAGTATGCGAAATGGTCAAATTTAATTATCAAATGGTTTACCCATTTACTGGTTTTTTTTTTTTTTGTTTTTTTTTTTAAATATTAAGGCAACATGGCTAGTGCTGTCAATACGACAGAGCAGATGAGGATATTATTTTAGTCCGGGGTAAAAAAAAAAAATTAACTACTGCGGATTCGAACCCAGGTCTACCGCACTTGAACCCAGTGTTCTAACCATTCGACCAAGCAGCCACTTAATCGTAAACGAAAAGAGAACACAACTATTAGACATATGTGTCCCTACCACTGTGTCGCGATTAAAACACAATTCAAAACCGCAGGCAATTGTTTTCTCGTAGACAGATACTCCAGATATATTAATGAAATAGAAATCGCACGCGTCTAACACAGTTAATGAAGTTAATGTCGCAGTCACTGTCTCCCCCGACGTCGAGATAGTCCTCGATTGCCCCCCCCCCCCCCCCCCAATCGAAGGTTGTTTGAAAAAAAAAAAAAAAAACAGAAAATAGAAATCGTGTTTAATATGGTTATTGTGGCAAATATAGAGATAGTCTTGTTTGCTGTACCACGACCTACTCTATGTATTAGTATTAGAGAAGGCGTTGGCTGCACGTATAACTCGCCGGCGAATGGTAAATACGGCGCATGCGCAATTAATAACGTGGCTATAATTAGAAATCACTAAAGTTATAAATATTAGTTGCGTATATTTTGGCATTAATTGTGGTCACCTATCTCTAACAGTGACAGGTTGAATTTCAAACCACGACGGTTCAAAATCCGGTATCACAACAAAACATATCCTGAAAATTTCAGCTAAATCGGTTCAGTAGTTTCCGAGTCTATAGGGGTGAAACAAACACACAAACATTGATTTATATATATATATATATATATATATATATATATATATATATATATATATATATATATATATATATATATATATATATATATAATTTATGTATGTGTATATATATGTGCAGGTCTTCGTTAGATATGACTGAGCTACCATATAACTGTAGCCGGTACCACCTGTCTTCTGTTCCGCCGAATGTTGGGCGGCATATTCCAAACCTAACATCCCATATTGTGCCAACGGCTTCGGGCGGAGGAGCGCATTGGGAAGGATACTAGCCTTATCCTAGGAAGAGGAAATGCAACCAGAAAACTTTGTATGGCAGGGCAGACCAGGCCCTTCGCCTTGGCTGGCAGCTGGTCTAGGAGTGAAGCTCCGACAGGCGGACATATAAAGCACTGCACTTCTGATCCGGCAGCTTCAGCAGCTAGTTTTGTTCCAAACGTACTGGTTTCACCTTTCCTTTGAAGTAAACAAGACAGGTCGAGAGAGGGATCTGGATGCATGGGCAACATGTGGTCTCTACAATGCTGCCCAGGCTTTGTGCTATGAAGAGGATGAGCTTCATTCCTGGCCGTATGAAGACTTTTCTTGAAACGGGCGGGTCTTGCTAGTCACACTCGCCATCGCCATGGGCTGTGAGTCTCATGCCTCCTCATAGCGCAATATGACACTATGGTCTGGAAAGCGGAAAGGTGCGAATCAATCATATATATATATATATATATATATATATATATATATATATATATATATATATATGTGTGTGTGTGTGTGTGCGCGCGCGCGAGCGCGCTCATGCGTGTGTAAGTATTAAAGAAAAATTCATCCTGCAGAATTATTTGCCCGAGAACAGAAAAGCCACAGCAGGTGTTTTATCAGATTTGTCACAACTAAAAACAAGTCAGCAAAACTGTTGCAATGCAGATGAGAGACTTGCCTTCGGTTGATATTATTATTATATACGCTACTTCAAATTATGGGAACCCCAGTATTTAGCGGCTTGATGCTCGCCTGCAGATCGGAAAGTCGTGGGTTCGGGTCCAGACGGAGCCAGACTTTTTAAAAAATGACCTTGGTTCCCATGTCAACCCATCCCTGAGTGGGTAAAAGGTAAAATTTACTTGGGAAGTAAATTCCGCCGACGTCATGTTAACCACATCTTCCACCGAGTGTCAACTGGTCTATAAAATATTCTAGCCTTTCAGATACAGACGTTCTGAAAGATCTAAACATCAAGAAAGTTTGTTTAATAAACAATATCTTGTCTCAGAAGCTGACATATTTTGACACTATCAAGCGCTATAGCGGATTGGAAAAAATAATAGCAGAAGGCATGGTACCAGGAAGGAGGGGCAGGGGCCGACCAACACGAAGATGGGCACAGGATATATGTGACTCCTTGAATATAAAAGTACACGAGGCGGGAGAGCTGGCGAGAGACCGAGTTTCTTTCAAGCAGACTGTGATGCAAAGGACCTGCTATATGATGATGAGCCCAGTATACCCAACACACCTAAAGGCGTGGAAAAGGATCTTTTGCTTCAGTTTTACTTCTAATCTACGCCTCATGCCTCCAGTCAACATGCTTGTCCACAACTTCGGTACTCCTAGTCATTTTTGATGCAACTGCAACCCCCCCCCCCCCCCCCCCCCGCCCTCCACATGTCTACAGTCTAAAAATTTCTCTCATGGTTATCCTTGGCCTCTTATTCTGTTCAGTTGTTCATGTGTTGACATACTCGAAACTGAAGTTGTGGACAAGTATGTTGACCTGAGGCATCAAACAAAACAACAGCAATAGTGACTTTGCTTGAAACGTTATATTTTTATGTGTGTGTATAATCAATTATCGAGCTTCCTGTTTATAAAAATAATGGGAGAAAGAGGGTTGGGGGGCGGGCGTGGGGGGGGGGGGGGGGGTTAGTGTAAGGACCTTCAATAATTATATGTCAACTTTCACCAATTTTGCCCCACAGTCAATACTTTGTCTATTTGTAAGTATATACAAACGTGCAAAGACTTGTGTAACCCGACTGCATTCTATAAAAGCAAATATACGAATTATCTAGTTATCGCAGACTATTGGCCGATTCATGCTATCCTGTTTGTCTCATTAGTTCATGTATCCCATTGCCAGAACTTCTTTAGATTATGTAAGACTATTGGTTAGTGCAGTTCAGTTTAGTTTACGTTCATTATCATTACGTGTTAAAAATCTACGCAAAGTATTTCAAGATCCTCACCGGTGCTACAGAGCCTGTGCAATGTGCTGAGATTATTCGGACTCAGGCTTGAGTTAGAAGAAGAACGGAGCACTTATGGGTTACCACCCGTGTGCCATGATGTTTATCCGTTGTTCAAACTTTAAACTTTTTCATTACGTCTCATAAAAAAAACAAAAAAACCGCAGGTGGTCATGGCTGATTATCTGACACGATCAACGAATCTTTCTGTGTTCTGGCTTGGCCAGTGCGGGTGACATTCGAGACTAACCGACAATCGTTCCTCAGTTTCTTTATCTGATATATCCTACATTTTACTGGTTTATCGCAAGATTTATATCTCTCTCCAGTTTCAACCTAATTTTTACATAAAAACAAAAAAATGATCATTAATCATCTTCACCTCAGTCAGTCGTAACGTCAAACATAGAGTATTTATACTTTTTATTTGATACGATAAATTAGATTTGATGACGTATACATTCTTTGACATGAGAAAATGCTTTTGTCTATAATCTACTGGTTTCCTGCACACAGATAGGTTAATCATTCTGCACTTTTAATAATTCAAAAGATTGTTTCGGAGCCCGATGAAAATACTAATTGGGGCGGGGTTGGAAAGGGCAGGTGGGGGGGGGGGGGAGGGGGTTGACCCCCTGTCCCTTAAAAAGCATGCTGTATAAGGCGACTTACTAAAGACCTGCTGAAATCAGCCTGTCTGTTAACCCCAACACAAAGTGCTAACGGCCTCTTCTCATAACCAGCAGCTGTGAGACTTTTTCAGGTAACAAATGTTTCTTAGCTCAGGAGAAACTGGCAAAAGGACGAAAATGGCTTTATACTACTCTACCTGTGTGCCAGTCCTGACCCTGGCCAATGACAGTAGCTCACAAATACCAGCATGAAGCCTCAGAAATAAAGTATATGAGAAAAGTGGCCCGAGTGACAAGAAGGGACCAAGTCATGACATTGAAATACAGGCCTTACAAAATGGAGGGAATCAGTCAGTTACGATGGTTTGGACATGCAGAGTGCCAGAAAATCGGGAACCACTGCAGGCACGAGACGCCAATCATCATCAGGGAATCAGAACTCCAGCACGACTTAGGGTCCACTGTCTAGGCAACATCAGACAGTCTTTGACTGATAAAGGACTAAAATAGAACAGAGAGACCCCCCCCCCCCCCCCCCCCCGTTAAAAAAAAAACGTAAGTCTGGCAATCTCCCCCGGCAAACCTCTACGCTCCAAGGTAGAAAAAAAACACACACAATTGATCCTTAATTGATTCATCCTTATCATGTGCTGACATGTAACACTGCATTACCTACATTTTCATGTCCACATTCTGTTAGTCCTGTCGCTGTCTCTGTCGATAGCATCAGGACAAAATCTGTTCTTCAGTGAAGGCGGGGAGGGGGTGGAGGAAGGGAAGAGTTTTACTTTGTGCTGCCTATGAATAAAATAGTTTCCCTGGTATTTAGTATTCTCCCACCACAACAACAGAGCATGCTGGGAAAGGTAGAGACAGGCATGCTCCGTGCAGAGAAGCAAGCATCACTTCAGAAGTCTCGGGTAGTTGGCACCCTTTGGACATTTTCTCCAGGTTATGCCAGTGTGTTGGGAAATGAGCAGGCGGATAAACTGACAGGCTGTGCGCCACTTGGTGGTGAAGTGATGTGGGACAAACTATATGTTGTGAAGGCACTTTGAGGGCGAGTGAAAAATTCAGAGGCAAAAATAGATTATTACGGTCAAAGGAGAATGGCGCTGCAAGGAGTTACTAGGGAATCTGACCGATGCTTGACACTCAAGGGAAGGGCGAGACGAATACACAATCAGGCGGTTACTGGTTCCATCAGAATTAGAACTCTTCGCTTGCTGCTGAAGATGGGGACGGAGCGCTTGTGGGAGTGTCTCGAGTGCTGCAATGTCGATTTTCATTTTAACATTCACTGCTATCACAAAATGCTAATCTTAGATGTTTCATTTGTGTATCAACCACCTCTCTTACTAGATTCACTTGCAGCAAGTAAAAAAAGCCTGTCCCTACCGAGCGAGGGGCACTGAAGGGCTTCGTAGACGTATAAACCTGGTGGAAAAGCTACAGCCACCGCATTGTCTTAGGGCAAAACAGAATAATCAGCGATTGCAGAATGATCTTCTAGCCTAAGAATCTTGTCAATCGTCAATGTCAGGGTAGAAACACCCGAGCTCATCACCATTTACGATGGCTAATCATTAAGTTCAATGACATACATTTTTTTAGAGGTGCAAGTTCTTCAGTGTCCTTCTAACTGTTTATATTCATGCCCTTGTTGTTGTTAATAACAGTAGCACCTCTAATGCGCAATTTCTGAAACAACCCTAGACTGTTTCGTCGCGTTGGCTTAAACCTTTTCATATGCAAAAATTCGGCAACGTGTAAGCAATTTTTTTTTACAAGGAACATGCATTTTTTATATTTTTGAAAAACTTTATTGTACATCGACAAACGATCCTCCTTTAGTCCGTTATCGGGAGATGGGGCAAACATTTGATGTCATATGAATTTATTTGTAAACCTTCAATTTTCTGGCACGCACAGTACGAATTTCAACACCCTCTGCAACCTCTGGGCGGTCAATATTGCTCTGCGTATGCGCATATGATTTCTTACACACATGAGATATTCTGAAGGCAGGCTCAGGTAGAATACAATCAGACAGGTTTGCATCCTTGAGAACAAAGTGCCACCCGAACAGTCAGACTTGTGGAGGGAATGCGGAGACTGGCTAGCAGGTGCCACAGAGGTGAAAATTCATCAATTAATTCAAAATAATGCTCGCTTAGAAAATGTGATCATTTGCACAGACGGTTCAGTGTCAAAAGGCAAAAGAAGTGCGTGGGGTTTCTTTGCAAAAGTTAATGGTCAAAGCAGGAGAGCCTAGCATATGATATCACATCAAACTTAAGAATGGAGGTGGAGGCGGTCACTGCAGCTTTCCGCTGGTTAAAGAATACGACACACACACACACACTGTGATTGTGTCTGACTCAGAAAGCATGCTGAGGAAGATCAGGCAGGCATGCTTTGTGCAGAGTGGTATGCCTCGCTGCGGAGGACACGGGTGAGAAGTATTGTCTGGATTTTTGTCACAGGGGTACCCCTGTGTGTTGGGAAATGTACAGGGGGAAAGACTGGGGGGCTCTGCACAACTTGATGAAATACTGATGCATGAAAAGGCAAACGTGGTTAGTGCCATGTGGGAGAGAGTGTACAGTTCGGAGGAGCAGATGGATCAACACAGTCTGGTGAGATTAATGCAGGGGGGAGTTACGAGAAGTTCTGGCAGATACTCGAGGCGCAGAAGGAAGGCAAGACGGACGTTTAATCAGAAAGCTTCTGGCACCATTAGTATCGGAACTCTTCGCTGGCTGCTGAAGTTGGGGATGGAGCGCTTATGGGAATGCCCCGAGTGCTGTTATGTCGGTTCTTGAATCAAATCAAATCAATCAAATCCTTCTGAAGGTGGATAGTCTGGCTTGACGCGGATCATATTCGAAAGATCGACGGACAATTTTGAAACGGAAATACTATCAACATGTCCTTGTCAATTTAGGCAAGACTCTCTAAAAGCCACTGCAGCATTTCAAGAGTTTCAGAGTCAGCTTATTCCAAAACCAAAGCAGAAATCACTGCCTCTACTCTGTTCAAGATTTTGTCATTTTAACAATTTGCCCAACACTGTGAGCCAGGTCTAATTATAGGTTTCCAAGAATGAATACTGTTTCAACAAATGCATTGTTTAGTGGTTGCTACGTATACTGCATTATTATAATTATGACCTTGTTACAAAATACAGCTTCCGTGTATGTTTATGTGTATGTGTGTTTATAAATATATGTGTATATAAATATATCTATATATAATGACGGGGAATGGTAATAGTTTTGACCATGTGTATGTCGCCTTAATGGTGGAGAATTATGCGGGCACAGCATACAGAAGACCAGTAAGTAGTTAAGTAGAACATTTAAGGCCTGGTTCCTTTAGAGGCTTGTCAGTTAGCGACCATTGAGTTGATTGTCTTATATAGGAGTTTACAACTGAGGAGCAACAAGTCTTCACTATCCAATTCCCCCCCCCCCCCATTTTCCCCCAGCAAACAGATATGAGCTTTTCTTGAAATATGAGTTCTTTGTAAATTATCATTATATATTGTGTACACCACTCGTGCTAGTTCTTTGCCTTATAGCAGGGAGACACAGACATATCTTGGAGATATGCAGTGCAGCCCAGAGTTACGGTATAGCTTATTTTTTCTTCTCTACAATCTCCGTATGTCCTGGCGTCTGGGTGGAGGTGAGACGACTGGGTCGCAGTGACTGGTGGAGATAATCTCAGTTTGATAAAGAACGAGCAAAATTTGCTGAATTGTGGCTGCTCATTGTCTATTGCCGTCAGAGCTTTGTGGGTATACACAAATACGTACTGGATCTTGTAGCATTCCTGGCTTCATTCTTGAATAATTGATCAGGTTGTTCTAAAAAAGTTCCATCTCCTTTGCGTTGCCCAATGAGCATGTATGAACCAATTAAAGCGCAAGTTAAAAGAAAACAACCCTTTGCTCAGCTGTTGGGTTGTTCACTTATATTATTGCATACCCGGCTACCCGGCTTTACGCCTCTTATAGAATTTATCATTTTTATTTTTTATTTTTTTTTTGTATTGGCCCGAAAACATAATGGCATTTCTTATAATGAGCATTAATTTACAAGAGACTAAAACTATACTGTGTAACAATTACCATTTATTTATAATAATAATAATAAAAGCACAATACCTGGGCACGCAATAGAGTATAGTTCCAAAGCGGAACGTGTGCATTCCTTATCTTTGGGTTCAGCAAACCATCAACTGATCTATAATAAAATATTTAAAATAAATGTCAGAAATTATGTACATACAATAGCGCTAAACCAGTTTGAACTAACCATAACTAAAATGACAAAAGATTTTAAAAAATCATAAATGTTCAATGTCCGAGAACAAACAATAATAATTTCTGTAGTGCGACCCAGAAGTCCGTCCGAACTTGACAAATCTATAACGCAGCAAACGTTGGGTGTAACTGGTTGAAATATGGAACACTGTAAATAATAAGGGAGGTTTACACAAATAGACTGCTACCCTGCATAGACATCCAGACCAGCGTAATGGAAAACTGGTAAAGCAGGCCACAAAACAACTGCTTGCTAACGTGTGATGCTGTGACCACAAAGCACACAGAACAATAGGAATAAACTCACAGGGAGCAAGTACAGCGGGGATCTACCAGTCATCAGTAGAAATTATCCTCGTCGACACGCGTTTCGGCCCACGATTCCTAGACGCATTCGGAGGTGGGCCCTCCTGAGTTCATGAAGCTCAGAGCTGGTTCCCCGCTGCACGGAATTACCGGATGGTGTTATTTTTTCGGCCAGAGACAAGACGACTTGGTGGTTTCGAAGGAGGTACTGTGAGATAAGAAGCCGCCACGGCAGCCTAATTAAAGCAGTCAGCATGCCTGGACGACCGAGCGACAAGCTTACTTTGGTTTACCGGACACATGTTGGACTTTTATTAGCAGTTGGCAGAGGAACACTGGCAGACAATTTGGACACGATGGACTTTCAAAGGGGTGAGAAACCCTTTTCCACTAGACACCCGGACCAGCTCACCGAGGCCCGTCCCCTACGTTGTTGCGCTGCGTCCAAAGCCAGCTAGAGGCCCTTTCGGCCACCTCTCCCAGTTTTTTGAGTGTTCGTTTCCGTTCATTACCGCGCAATCCTAGTTCTTTCACCACATTGTAGAGCGAAGTGGAAACGAGGCCTCTCGCTCCCACTTCGACGGCAAATACCCGTACTGTGTAAGCTTCGTTTCTCCTCAGACCGGCTGCTAAATCACTGTACTTCTCGAGCTTGTACAAATGATTCTCCTCCATACGCGACTCAAACGGGACAGTCAACTCAATCAGGATGAGCTGCCGTTTTTGCGCAGAATGGAGAACGATGTCCGGTCGCAGGCAATGTAATACAAAAGCTAAATCACCCAGATACAACACCTCTCACCAAGACAAAAGTTTACAACAGGCAAACAAAATTACATCGCACAAAGATACACATGTAGAAAACGTTGTTAGAAATCCACCGCAGAGAGATACACATGAAGATACAATTGAAACAGGTGGTTAGAAATATAGCTCACAAAGCTACACATGTAGATACACATGTAGAACACGTTGTTAGAAATACACCGCATAAAGATACACATGAAGATACAAGGGTAGAACACGCTTTTAGAGATCCACCGCAGAAAGATACACATAAAGATACAAGGGTAGAACACGTTATTAGAAATCCACAACACAGAGATACACGTATAGATACAAATGTAGAACAGGTTGTTAGAAATCCACCAAACAGAGTTACACATGAAGACACAAATGTAGAACACGTTGTTAGAAATTCACACCGCGCAGATATACAAGTGTAGAACACGTTGTTAGAAATTCACACCGCGCAGATATACAAGTGTAGAACACGTTGTTAGAAATCCACTGCATAGAGATACACATAAAGACACAAATGTAGAACAGGTTGTTAGAAATCCACTGCAAATAGATACACATAAAGACACAAATTTAGAACAGAAATCCACAGCATAGAGATACACATAAAGACACAAATGTAGAACAGGTTGTTAGAAATCCACTGCAAATAGATACACATAAAGACACAAATTTAGAACAGGTTGTTAGAAATCCACTGCACAGAGATACACATAAAGATACAAATGTAGAAAAGGTTGTTAGAAATCCACCGCACAAAGATACACGTATAGATACACATGTAGAACAGGTTGTTAGAAATCCACCGCACAAAGATACACGTATAGATACACATGTAGAACAGGTTGTTAGAAATCCACCGCACAAAGATACACGTATAGATACACATGTAGAACAGGTTGTTAGAAATCCACCGCACAAAGATACACGTATAGATACACATGTAGAACAGGTTGTTTGAAATCCACCGCACAGAGATACACGTATAGATACACATATAGAACAGGTTGTTAGAAATCCACCGCACAAAGATACACGTATAGATACACATGTAGAACAGGTTGTTTGAAATCCACCGCACAGAAATACACGTATAGATACACATGTAGAACAGGTTGTTAGAAATCCACCGCACAAAGATACACGTATAGATACACATGTAGAACAGGTTGTTTGAAATCCACCGCACAAAGATACACGTATAGATACACATGTAGAACAGGTTGTTAGAAATCCACCGCACAGAGATACACGTATAGATACACATGTAGAACAGGTTGTTAGAAATCCACCGCACAAAGATACACGTATAGATACACATGTAGAACAGGTTGTTAGAAATCCACCGCACAGAGAGACAACTGCAGAACAGGTTGATCGAATGCCACCGCACAAGGATACATATGTACAACAGGTGGATATAATTTTACCGCACAAGGATACATATGTACAACAGGTGGATATAATTTTACCGCACAAGGATACATATGTACAACAGGTGGATATAATTTTACCGCACAAGGATACATATGTACAACAGGTGGATATAATTTTACCGCACAAGGATACATATATACAACGGGATATGCAGTAGGACTTACGTAAAGATAATATCAACAATTTCAGTCGAACACAAAAAATGTCGTCACCATCTTCATCATCTTCCTCCTCTTACTCCTCCTTCTTCTCCTTCTCATCATCATCATTATCATCCTCATCTCATCACAATGTGCTCTGTAAACAAAACCAAGCTGCTCCAGTTCACATGATCATTTATCTGGAGGCAAGTCTGAGTTTTGTCCAGATAAAGCACGCAGTCTTCTACTATTGCTCATTTCTCATCGTTTGCCAGCTGTCTTTACTTCAAGCCATTGCTTTCCATTTTTTTAATTTCACACACACACTCTCACACACGCGCGCGCACACACACACGCAAACAGACACGCGCGCGCACACACGCGCACACACACATACACACACACACCAGCACGCACAGCCTTGACAGTGGACATGTTATTTCTTTAATCAGTTTAGAGTTTTTATCTATTGTTTGAAGGGAAGTCGATTTTTCTGTTTAAATAACCTTGGCTTATAGGCCAAACCAGCCTTGAGTGGGTATTACGTGCAGTCATGGGAAGTAAAGGTTGTTAGCTTGATGCTGACAACATCATCTACTAAGTGTCCATTAGTCTAAAGAATATTTACCTAGTATGCCCAAAAGCGTGGGAAATGGTTCATTACTTTGCATTATCTATTTCTGTATGGCCTGGTACATTCGTTTATGTCCGTTTATATTTCTTGAAATTCAACCCCCCCCCCCCCCTTTCCCCCTTTCCCCCCTTTTCTCCCGCCATCAACATTTTTTCACCTGAAATGTCTCGGAAGGTCAGCTCACTGACCATGTTTCCATGGAGATGGACACATTACATATGCTACCTCTATCGAACTCATAGCATGTAAACAGGGACTCTACAGTCCGAAAAACACGTCATTCAGATCAACAGATTCGCCATTGTCGTGTTCTCTAACATCGACCATCAACGTTTGCTAAGAAACGCGATGCACTTCTTTTGCCTCTTGACACTGAACCGTCTGTATAATTGATAAAATCCTCTGGGCGAGGATTATCTTGAATTAATTGCTGAATTTCCACCTCTGTTGCACCTGCTGGCCAGTATCTGCATTCCCTGATCAGTGTGATTATGACCCTACACAAGTCTGACTTTTCAGGTGGCACTTTGACCCAATCCTCTCCTCGCCTAATATACTCAAGCATGCAAACTTGTCTGATTGTGTCTTCTGCCTGAGCCATCCATGACTTCCCTCTTATCAGCCTCTGACCCTAAACTGCACCCAGAGCTTCATGCAAAGGGTGGTCTGTGTTTGCAGCTACCTTGAGATATGACTTCGCCTGCCTTATCTTGTGCCTATCTGCAACAGTCTACAAACCAAGGATGTATCATATAGACACCACTGGGGTGTCTCTGGTGCAACCTAGAACGACCCGCATAGGTGCATTCTGTGTGCGCTCTAGATTGTCCATCTGACTCTTTGAGACGGTAAGCAGTCCCAGACCATAATCAACCACTGACAGGATCAGGTGCTGATACTGTGTGAAAAGCACTCTCTGCTCTATGTCAGTTGCAGCCATAGTATTAAATGCACTAAGCCCTTTTTGGCATCTTGTCACAATACTCTCCACATTGTCCTTGAGGGACAGGCTCCTGTCAAGTGTAATTTCCAGATTCCTCAGTTTGCTCTCTCTGTTGATGTTTCTAAAATCCATCGTGAGACTTGGGACATTAGCTTTAACGATACTGTAGTCTAGAGAACACCACAAAACAGATGCCTTTTCCGGGTGGACCACAGCCCTTATTGCTGTACACCACTCAGTCACTTTGTCTACTGTCGCTTGAATCTCTCGGGCTGTTTGTTCTTTCTCTCTTTCCCAAACTATTTGCTAGTATATAATCCACAGAAGTCAGTATAGAGTATAGAGTCGACATCCAAACAGATTCTAAATTCTTGACAATGAACAAGAAATAAGTCCCGACAATTTCAACTAGCTGAGTGAGGAAAAAATAGTACAGTAATCATGAAATGGACAAAGAATTTCAATTCTGATCAAATATAAGATAAGCCAGATAATTTATTATTTTTATAACTGGCTTATCTTATATTTGATCAGAATTATAATTCCGTTAGTGTGTGTATTTATTATTTTTATTATTTTTTTAAATTTTCAATAGTTTTTAATTAGCAATTAAAATTGTGATACCTTATGGTGCGTTTTGGTGCCTTTGAAAAAAAAAAAAAAGGGCACCATCCCAAAACAATTTCGGCACCCCTGCAGGACAACCACGCATCCTTACTTCGTTTCAAAGGCCAGTGAAATGTGCATTAGATTCGGGAATACACACTGCACTCATTAGCCATTGACAGGATAAAACAAAAGTAAAGGATCATTTTCCATGCCTTGATGAGTACTGGACTACAAGGATTAAATCTATATTTTATCTACCAGTCGGAACTCGGTGGATGATGTGGTTCAAATATTTTAAACTACTTTTAAAATGATATTAGATATTTTGTTGTTGCCCCAAACAGCAGATTATTATCATTATTTTTTTTAATGATTACGTACTTTAAGGAGAACTTAGGTACGATGGGAGCTCTCTCGAAAATTAGCAGGGGCTTAGATCGCCCCCCCCCCCCCCACTTTTTTTTTCTACGTCGGCACCACTACTGCTGCCTTTCAAGTTTTTTCTTTCTTTTAAATTAACGTTGTCGTTTGCGACAATTTACTTACGCAAATCTGTTTGACTGAGTAACAGCAAACAGGAAAGCTAAGATGCCAAATAGATAGGAGTGATTGTTCCAGACAGTCTTGTCCAAGAAATGCAAATACCAGAATGTGGCTACGTAAACAGAGGAAAGCAATGACATCTTCAGACCCAGCATGATACCAATGCTACCTGGAATACAGAAGAGCAAGTATGTACAACAGAATATAACACATATTTACACTATTATATAACACACACTATAAGTGATAAATACAACAGAGTACGTGTACACAAAATAGTTCAACAGAACACGTGTTAGGGTGTATAGGCCGATATAAAGAAATACTGGGGCTGTATGGACGTATAGAGTAACATATGAAATCCACAAGGGCAAGGATATATGGTCCCACATGCATTAGGTTATATAAAGAAATATACAAATGTGTGGGGATGACCGCATTTTACAACGCCGTGGCCAGAGTGACACAAGGAACCTGTTCTTTCTAGGTCATCGTTGCCTGCGTCTCGTGTTACGAAGCCTTTATTAACAGCATCTTGTCTGGATCGCGTTTGTATTTATGGGTCGGCTGACCTACGTATCATACCTGATCCATTACTACCTTCTGTACATATACTTCCAGAACCATGAGGGGCTCTACTATATCAGTGACACCTGCATTGTGGTCACATTCTGTGGAATCGTTGTCCTAACTAACATGATTGTCTTCATCTTGATGCTGGCCTATTTTGAATCTCCATGGATCGCCCTGGAGATCTTCTTCTTCAGTAAGAAATCGAAGATACAGAACAGTTAGTCTGACAGTACAATATTGCTTTTAACACTTGGTAATTTCTTCAGCTGTTCTTTGTCCATGGTTGGAGCATACAAGCTCAATCAATTCATTCGGGGATGTTCTGTTAACAGACGTCACGCGCAGATCCTTCCGTGTCTTATTTGTTGATCACTCTAAGTATTTTGTGTGTGGTGTTTTTAGAGTTTTCGTTTTCAAGTTCTACTCCTCCAGATTTGCAGTCTCGGGGATGAGAATTAGATAGGTGCAAATTGCAGAAACTTAGTTCACCTATATATTACCGTTATATTTGGGCATCACAAAAGGGTTACAAAGTAACATGCAGTCCTATTTTATACTGTGTTTCTCTCCCCTCCTTTTCTCGCTTCCTCTCTCCTTCTCCCCCTCTCTCTGTTTGTCATATCGAGCATCAGTACGCCCCTCACCCTATGTTAACTGGAAGTTGTTAGTTCTTTCCCAAAGCTTCACGTTAGTGATTCTACCATACCATTTTGATTTGTGTGTTCTGCTTAGGCACCAGTTAATGAACATTTGCAGTAGATTTCGATCAGTGATTGTTTTGTCACATGATGATGATTATGTGTTGTATCCAGTATCAGAATTTTTTTTTTTTAAATGTCAATTCGCAATTCAGCTTTACCGTAACTGCCACAAAATTACATTTGCACCTGAATACACAAGGATCAAAGATATCCAGGGCAGTCGATGTCTGATCTTGGAGCACACTAGATGTTCTGGAGTGAGTGCTTGGTCTAGTCCTACGAGTATGTGTACCTATTGGGTGAGAGGGACACACTTAGGTCGTAAGTCTCTTGAATAGGAAAACCTTTCTACAGTCAAGACCGTTGTTCGAGACCGAAGAGGCACAAAACACAATGGATCTAGAGGAGACAACCTCGATAAAAAACCCTAAGTCTACGGTAGACCTACGTGCCTATTGGCTGAATGACTGTGGGTTATACAGTCGTGAACGTGAAACGTCTCGAATGCACTCTGTCAGGACATCCATTGCCTCTTTCTTAGCAGGCAGGCAATACTATGGTGACCGTTTACTTCCTGGTTTCAAGGAATATTTTCTATGAATTTTGTACTTAATAATAAAAAGAATCATCGCTGGAGCTAAGGAGAGCGTGCTCTGTGCCTGACATCATCTTCAAGTGGCAACGAAGAGAGTCGGAAGAGGAAAAGACGAGGTAATGGAGAGAGAAGAAGGCATATAAATCGGAGATCTGGTCTGGTAGTCTGGTCTGGTAGTCTTAGTTTCAGCTTCATAGCAAACGTGTCGCCCCATCTTTGCTCCGCTCCTGTGCCAGCGAAAAACACCCAGAATGTTTATCACAGTCACTTGTGGAAAGATTGACAGACTGCTGTCTCAGCATATCTAGCATACACTCGCATTAACGCATATGGTAGCCATCCGAAGTGCTAACACAAACAGTCCAACATTAGAAATGTAGTTCATCATTGATGATAGCAGAACTTGTCGCCAACAGATCAGCAGTTGCCCGGGCGATCAATTTTAATACGGGTCCCGCCAGCATTGCACGACCGGCATCGCGCCATTTTCTGAATCTACAATTCACACCACGTTGGTCACAGTCGAAAAAACATTCCAAATGCAATCCGCAGCTCACAGGGTCACGCCATGCATTCAACTCAGAAGCTGGGCGACGAAACTATATCCAGTCTACAAATGGAGCAAAAATACTTCGGCCACCGTCCGGCAGAAGCAAAAAATGTGCCTCCGCTCCGAACAGCGCCGCTGTCTAGCGTCCATTTTAACCGGAAGCATATATAAATCGAAGAGCCGGAGCCCAGAGTGTCAGGCTACAATTGGAGCGTCCGGAATTTAAGCGTTTTAGAGTGGGTTACTGGAATTATCATAGTCCAAACAGAGACGACATGCACCGGAGAGACTGATTTATGACTTTGATGCAGGAATTAAACATAGATAGATATGAGTGTCCTGGATACATGAGTTATATAATTCCTACCGGACAGGGAAGACCTGACAATGTCTGCTGGTGAAGAATGTGGTGAAACATGTGGTTCTTGGCTTAGACCAATGGATTCATAGTACACTAGAGGTTCAGGAAATACAGATAGAAAATAGGGAAACAGCGTAAAATTTAGTAAATGTTTACGCTGCTGTTGAATCTCTTGTCAAAAAGGAACAGTGGAACTGGCTCATAGTGTTGGGCGAAATCCCAGGTAATAGGCTTTTTATTTGTTATGATTTCAATGCGCGAAACATAGTTTGGGACAGTACTGGTGCTTGAAAAAATTATTGCTGTTAAGCTACAAATGTTTTTTTGGAAAAGGAATAGCTCCTAATTAAAGTTTGGGTAGTTACCGGCCATGAAAAGATGCCTGGACAAAAGTAGATACTTTTGCTTTTAATGTTTATGAGGGCTTCCAGAACAGATAGGAGACAGTTTTGGGAGCATTTGATCTTGACGATGCCTACAATAGAGTCAGGTATGATATTTTGTTGTCTGCAGTCATGGAAAAGGGAGTCTTTCCCTGGCTTGTGAACTGGCTAGCAGGTGTTCTGCATTTATGCATGGTTGCCTTTTGCTTTAGTACATTGACCTTGTAGAACCAAGTAAAATCGCCACAGGATACTCGAAGGTACTTCTGTGCTCTTCAATGTGTATTCAAACAAGACTGCTTAACCTGAAGCCCCAGATGTTAGTAGGATATTGATATTTGCATATGATGCTTCTGCATAAAGCAGGGGAGTAATTGGCAACGAACAGCCCAAGAGTTACAGTCAACTCTAGACAAAGTGACTGACTGGTGTTGAGAAATGGTTGCTGTCATAAACTCTAAAAAGGCGACTGTTTTGTGGTGCTCTCTGGACAATAGAATTATAAGAGCTAATGTTTCAAGCCTCACAGTTAATAACAATAACATCAAAAGAGAAAGCAAACTGAGGTACCTGGGTATCATTCATGATAGAAGCCTGTCCTTCGGTGATAATGTGAAGACAGTTGTGGTGAAATGCCAAAAAGGACTCAATGCTCTCAAGATTATGGCAGCAATGGACATGGAACAAAGAATGTTGTTCACAATATTCCAGCATGTGATCCTTTCGATGATAGATTATGGACTTGGAATGTTTACCATATCAGAGAGTCAGTTGATGAATCTTGAACGTATACAGAGTGAAACTATGCGGGTAATTCTGGGATGTAAGAGAGATACCCCGGTAGTATGTATGCGAAATTTACTTGAACTGCCTACTATTTCAAATAGGCTTAAAGTTCTGCAAGCAGAGGCATATCGCAGTGTAGCTGCAGACAAGAATCACCTCATGCATAAAGCCCTGGGTAGATCTAAGAGTTACCGACTGAAAAGAAAAAGTTTTTGGATGGTGCAAGCTGAAGACACAATCAGACATGTGTGCAGGCTTGATACATTTGTGTGAGAAGAGGAGTGGGTCAACGTGTCCGAGCAAGTTTCAGATTTGTGCGGGTTCTCATCACTTAAGGTCGTGAGTGCAGGGACAGGCCAGCTGGTGCTGCAGAATCAGAAGTTCAAGAAATGATTCATGAAAATTCTCGCCCAAGTGATGTGATTATCTGTACATATGGCTATGTGTTGAAGGGCAGAGAAGTGCATGGAGGTTAATAGCAAAAGCGAAAGTACGTCGCTTAGTTCATCAAAACCTGACACATAATATCACAACGTCCAGTTTGAAAATGTGAGTGGAGGCAGTCACTGCTGCATTTCGCTGGCTTGAGAATCAGCTAAGTACACATGTGCTGATTGTAACTGACTCACAGAGCATGCTGAGAAAAGTGGAGACAGGTATGCTCTATGCAGAGTGGCGAGCATCACTACAGAGGAGCCGGGTAGTTAGCATCTTTTAGATATTCTCTCCAGGCCATGCCAGGGTGTTGGGAAATAAGCGGGTTGATAGACTGTCCAGTTCTGCCCCACGTGGTGGTGAATCGATGTAGGACAAGCTAGACGTTGTGAGGGCCCTCTGGGAGCGAGTGAACAGTACAGAAGCGCAAATAGATCATTACTGTCTGAGGAGAATGGCACTGCGATGAGTTACTAGGGGATCTGACCGATGCTCAACACTTCAGGGAAAGGCGAGACGGATATGCAATCAAACAGTTACTGATGCTATCGGAATTATAACTCTTCGTTTGCTGTGAAGATGGAGATGAAGCGCTTATGGGGTGTCCCGAGTGCTATGATGTCGATTCTTAATTCAACATTCTGATTGCTTGACAGCAGCAAGGCTTGACACGTTGACATTGTAATGGAACAATTGAAACTGGCATCCTTTGAGTAAATGGGTTGCATCACTTAAGACTTAGATCCGATCCGAAGCATATCATGGATTTTCTGTAAAACAAAGTA